GGTTTCCAACATCACACTCAACCTTCCCTCTTTTCTCGATTAACTAAAGGCTATCAAAATAATCCAGGTTTAGGAATGAGACGGCTGGAAATCGGATCTGGACGATGTGTGTGCGTGTGACTGAGTAGCAGTGGTCTAGTAATGGTAATTTTTATTCACCTAACTGAATATCACCTAAGGGAGGGGAGTGTATAATCATACGTAGCTCTTATGAATCTGTAGACTGTTAGGTTATTTATTTCCCAATGAAAATTTATTTGTTTGTGGGTATGTGTACAAATGTTGTCTGTTAGCGTATAATATTCTGGACAGCTCTCTCATCCTAGTTAGGGAGACTGAAGTATTCCGCCTTCACTGGTGTTTGAACCCTAGACCTTCCGGTTACTAGATGTACTCATAGACCATGTAGCCACCGGGACACCATCCAGTGACTCGTTATGGTGGTATGATACAATGTGTTCCAGTGGAATATTAATCTCACAGTAAGAACCATTGTATTTGTTGGTGTTAACATCTGAATATTATTCCCACAGTTCAATACTGCATTAGCAACAGAATGCTATGTATCTATTCGCAGGGATTTGACTGGTTACAGATTTGATTATGAGCTGACACTGATTACGACATTGGTTGGTTTTTGCACTCGATGCATATGACGAACTGACAGGAAGCTAGAATTCATGCGTCCTTGGGTGGAGTCCCAGTAGTTGAATATATACTACAAGCTCACGCTGTGATTGGAATGTCCTGAGCTCGAATCCTGATTGAGGTGCGTAGTGATAAAGAGTTTCAAACTACCATGAAACAGGTGTCCAATATACTCCTCTATTGGTTCTCTAACTGATATCAACTTGCGATGAAACCGACTTCCAAATAAATTCGTGCAAACCAACAGTTGAAGGTAAACTATGCTTGGCCAAGTTAAGACTTTAAGCACCACTAACCACTAATCAGCGAACGACGTCGAATTATCCAATGAGATTCACGAACGTTAGTTCAATGTTGTATAGCGCTTGATTAATTTCAAGTGCGTGCCTGAAAAAAGTTACGGTTGCAATTCGAGGAGGATAATGTTTTCCAGTATTGCCTGGATTTAGGGTTGCTTCGGAAGCAGAGAACTTGTTCATGTGGTGGTGTTATGACTTTAAAAAGCCTTAGCAGACCAACTGATGGATTTATCTATCGTTGTGCAATATGTTTGAAGCGAGTTAGCATTAAAGAGGGTAAGCTGATAATTTTAATATTTCGTAGGAACTTTTTTTTCAAGGTCACACCCTCTCCTTAACGCGAATTTTGTATATCTGCAAATACTGGGTCGTGAAACAGCCAGTGAGAGCCGCAGCTGCTGAGACGGAGAATAGCCTGGTCTGAACAGTTCAAAGGGTATCAGCATTGCAGAGATATTGCTTCGTGGAAAATGGAGGAAATCACTTCATTGTTGGGTGGGGAAGAAACTGTGTTGGTGAAGAAGAAATACAACCGTGGTGGCCAGCGAGCAAACAATATTTGGGTCAGTCAATGAAGTCCACAACAGTCAGTTTAGGTCAGTCAGCCAGCCACGTAAGGAGGTGTAGACTGTCCGGCCGTCTGTCTGTTTGGGCTCTTCAGGATGGTGGAAACCAGTGAAGACTGGAGACAATTGGTAATATGGCTCAAAATCTTTCTCGATAGCTGACGCAGCTGCATTTACTCTTTGTGATTTGCCATATTCAAAGAAACTAAATTGTTCTTCCATGTTACTATTCTTTTTACCAGTTGATCACGGATTGATATCAGTTGGAGAACCATTGAAAACTAACACTGGAGTATTGGACAGCTGTTTCATCCTAGTTTGAGAGTCATCGGCAGTACGCACACGCCAACAGGGTTCGAAACCAGGACCTCATGAATTCTAACCTCTACGGATTTGTGGATTTGTACCATTCAGCCATTGAATCAGGTCCCATTGGCTGAATGGTATACGAGCTAGCCTTGTAACCAAAAGGTCCTGGGTTCGAACCCCAGTGGGTGCGTACTGTCGATGACTCTCAAACTAGGATGAAACAGCTGTCCAGTACTCCAGTGTTAGTTTTCAAAGGCTCTCCAACTGATATCAGTAGTCCGTGATCAACTCATAACCCTTACAAACCAAACTACAGAAAACTGTTCCTTTTTGCCTCGTCCACACTTCTGTTTATTGTCTGTTTTGAATCTCCCTTTACTATCTTCTCTTGTTTTGTGTGCTACAAGGAGGGAGTGTGGCAACTGGAACTGCTGCACACCAGTGCAAAGTTCTATGTTGAATCCAGTCAGTCAGCCAATGCTCCTCTGTCAGCCTTATATATATATATATATATATATATATATATATACATATATTCCTTTACGTTCACCAGTGGAACATAGGGCTTCATGCTAGTGGCTTGAAGTTTCTGTATGAGTATTTATTATACAGGATAGGGTCGCTAGCCTCATGCCCAACCTTTCCTCTTTACCAGCAGTATTTCTGGAGTGAGTCGGCCGGGGATCGAACCCCGGACGATGTGCATGGTCGGCGACTGTCCTAAACGCTATGCCACCGACGCACCGTATATATATGTCTTTTTTTCGTTCTGAATGGAACGTATGGCTTCAAGCTTAATCCTTCAAAGTTTCAGTAGCGGTAGTGTTGGTTCATTTTACAGAATGAAGTTGCTAGTCAGCCTCACACCAAACCATCGCTCTTATCGTAGCTCACTACTGGCCAACAGACTAAGCAACTTGGAAGGGTATCGGCAGGGAATCGAACCCTGGGGTTGCGTGCGTGATCGGCAAGTATTCTATCATCGAATCACCGACGAATTCAGGGTACATACATATAAAACTCTTCTAAATGTAAAGTGTTATTAGCCTACATTTTCATTTAGAAAAGACGCTGAAAAAGTAGTTTAAAAAACAGAACAAACTTGTTTCCATCTGTTCTAAACGGCACTGTAAGTTAAAATTATTTAATACAATTAACCTGTCCACTTCGACTAATTTGATTTGAAAAAGCATAAACTATGAGGATAAGTAACTCTGAATTAAACTCCAAAAAGGATATATCCGCTGTTACTTGCACACAATTTGTGAGGCAGGTATAATTGAATTTTCAAGTATTGGTTTTGTAGGGATTTGGTTTCATTGGTTGGAGGATTTTGTCATGAGCTGACCTCAGTTAGAGAACCAATGGAAAACAACTTGGGAGTACGGGACAGCCATTTCGTCCCAACATCTTGGGACTATTCACAGTACGCACCCACCACCAGGGTTCGAAACCACGACCTTCTGGCTACAAGGCGGACGATCTCGTAGACCATCAAGCCACTGGGATTCCATCCATTGGTCACCCCATGAATTCTAACTTCTAACAATTCACGGACGTGGTGGGTACGTACTGTGAAGAGTCCCAAACTAGGACGAAGCAACTGTCCAGTACTCCCTGCAGGTTTTCCAGTGATCCCCTAACCAATATAGGTTGCCATATACCTCCAATTACCGAATATTCCAAACCGCAGAAGTGATTCTGAATCACTGAAATCGCTTTATGCGAAAGAAACAGACGCAGCCACTATGCTGCCTTGATCTGTTGTGGAACCTATAAATTCATTATTTCTGTATTATTTTTCTTAACTTGTCTGATACATTCTTAGGCATATTATAATCCACAGGTCCTTTCGAACAGTAATAATAATAACTTGACTGATACAATTCAGTCTGCATCAAAACAAAGGACTGCGTACATGACATTAGTTTCTAATCAAGAACTCATTACAGTCCTAAAGAAAGTCAATTGTGAGCTTGAATAGCTTCGTGCTAACGCCTCTGACTAGAACAGTCAGTGATCCAGATTAAGATCTCATAAAAGATATGAGTATCTTCAAGAATGCAGATACATCTTGCAGACAAATGCCAAGAAGCATGAAATCCAAGTGTGACACTTCCTGCTGGTTGCTCCCAACCATCTAATCTATCAGTACTATTGATTCAATGTTACTTAAAATAATAATGTTGTCAATAACAATAATCTTTTCCAAGTGTTGGTTTGTAGGGATTTGATTGATTGGTTACAGGATTTCATCATGAGCTGGCATTGGTTAGAGAACCATTGGAAAACCTCCAGGGAGTTTTGGACAGCTGTTCCATTCAACTATTTACGCATACGCACTCCAATTATTCCATTCAACTAGTTTGGGGCTAATATCAGTAAAAAGTTTGAGCATTGTAGATTAGATCAAATAAAGTATAATTATATTTCAATAGTTTACACACAATGATAAGTTTTGCTATTGCTAATATTTCGAGCAAAATTACTGCCCGTGTTCACACACCAACTGTTGGAATTGTTGGAACAAAACACTGTGCGTCGATGGCACAGTGGTTAGGACTATCGCCAACCATACAAATGGTCCGGAGTTCGATCCCCTACCGATGCACACTTGATATCTATGGTCGGCCTGCAAAATTTGGGCTACCGATATCATATGCTGAAAATTCCATACCTGTACCAAAAAGATACGGTGTGGAGTCAAGCTGTAATCCAAAAAAAAAAAATCATTCTGTGTAAACTATTGAAATATAATTATACTTTATTAGTTTGGGGCTCTTCATCAGTATGCACCCACCACAGTGGTTCAAATCCAGGATCTTGTGGTTACAAGGAAAGCTAGCTCGTAGACCATTAAGCCACTAGGACCCGATCCAATGACGAGCATTTGTCCTCACACCGACCTGCTGCACCCTACCGGCTACGAATTCCCACTAGAATCCCAGGTAACTACCTACCTCAATAGGGCAAGTCAATAGAGTGAGCATCTCATTGATATTCAAGTGTTGGTTTGTAATCTTTTCAGTTATTATAAACATGCAATATTGTAGAACTTGAAAAAAAAAGTTACCGAAAAGAATAAATTTTAATCACTAATCTCAGTCCTTTAGAGTTATTAAAAAAAGAGCATCTTTAATCAATTTTTTTTTTAAACTGTCTCTCAAATTGAACATACCAATTTTGGATGATCTGCAATCACTTGTTCACAGTACGCCTTCATTTGATCTCGATCACGGATTAGAAGTAAATCATTTTTGGCAGCCAATTCAAAGACTGAATGATGAATACTTTCATCACTTTGAGTTAGTAGATTTAACAGCTGTTTAGTGAAAGGAACAGCAATAATAATAATAGGACAGCTATAAATAACCACAATAACCACGGCACCACTTCGCCTTTTTATAAACGTTTCTTTAAAACTTGAAGTATACTACGCATACAGGTAAGATTTCTCCAATGTCAAAAGCTCTAACTAACTAACTAACTTTTTTTTCTTTCACGTTCCCAGTGGAACATAGGGTCCCTTCAAGCTAGTGGCTTGGAGTTTCTGTAGCACTGGTGTTTAATTTTACAAGATTGGGTTGCTAGCCTCATGCCCAACCTTTCCTCCTTACCAGTATTATTTCTGGTTTGGCGAGGTAAAGGAGTGCGTCAGTGGCCGGTGATCGAACCCCAGGCCATGTGCATGATCAGCGAGCGTCCTAACCAATATGCCACCGACGCAACTAACTAACTAACTAAGAGATTTAAATGGGACTTTACGAAAGCGTCAGTCAGCTTAAATCAACAAACTACATATAGCTGCAGAGAGAAAAGAACACAACCCCTATAAAGTGCCCTAAATCTTTATCAGCCTCAATCAACAGTTACATGTGACAATGTCACATGTAAAGTAACTACTCACAACAGAAAAAACTCAAGGCTGTTTCTCAAGTGAAACAAGAGTAACAACAAGGATGTACTACTGTACTGTACCCATGATATTCCTGCTTGTGGTAGACTGGATGATCATGCAGCAGGCAGTGGAGAGCGGGGAAGTCAAGAAAACCCTGGTCCGTTAAGAAGAAGACCCTAGAAGATGTGGACTTCGCGGAGGAAGATGATTTATATTTTTTATGTCATACAAACTCGAAGATCGACAGGTGAGAATCAACAAGTTGGAAGGAGAGAGATGCAACAAAGACAGGATGTAAAGTGTAGGCATAGAGAAGATACAGAAATGGTGATAATGAAGAGGTCAATTCTTTCGCTTATGCATTCAGCGAATCATTTCAAGTCAGTTCTTCTATATGGGTCAGAGGACTTGGTATCCACGTCATCACAAGCATTTGCAACAGGCTATGCACTTTTACAAACAGATGCCCTCGTTGGCTTGATACTGAAGATGAAATGGCCGGTGGGACACGATTAGCAACAAAAAAGCTCTGTTAGTGCGAAGAGCCTATTGATCAGTTAATATGCAGGAAGAAATGATAGTAAATTTGACACACTGAAGAAAACGTTCAGAGACAACTCGTCCAAATCATGCCATGTTCCACTCGGAACGCAAAGGAATGAAAAAAGCTTGGAAAAAATGCAAGCTACTGAAATTAACATCAGTAATATAACTTCTAATTTGTAAATTGTGTCCTATCACACATTCTAGTGTCGATATTTACCTAAACTAGCTACGTGTATCTGCTACGATCCTCAGAGTAAAGCTAGAGCTGAAAATGTTGCCCAGAAGAATAAAGAAACGTCTAGAGTTAACCAATCCACCACATAAAATACGACATAAAAGAGTTAGTATTTCCCCTCTGATTGAATTCATTCATCAGTCTACCACAACCCGTGACTACTATTGTCATCTTTCGGGATATTCGAATCTGTAGGCATTTAACAGTGAGGTTACAGGCTTCACGCTAGACTATTTCGCCAAGAACTATTCATTGGTCTTAAAAACAGAAATATAAAAAACACTGAAATGTATTTAATATGTTCAACAGCGACCGAATCAAAGTGTAAATTAATTTATGCATACATTTTCACATATGTAATACTTCTACGTTAAAACATGACTTTATGTAACCCATAATATATCTTTGTCTTTCTAACATAAGGCAACCACATTTGCTACAGATTAGCATCAGTCATAATGGATGGCTGATTGCAGACAAAATTTCAGCGTAGAAACAAAAGGCTCGTGTGGTATTTACCAACTTACGACACCTCTAGAGTATACGTGATATCCCGTTATCGATTCTAAAACGTTTCTACTACGCAATAGTTCCCCATATCCTGCTCTATGGCTGTGAAGCACAGCCATTCAAAAAATGGAAGATAGGAAAGTCTAACTCTCCTGGAGCATAGAAATTCGCTTTCTATCTCACGTCTTTAGCAGTAGATTATGGTGAGCAAAATTGAGGTTAGGCGTAGAAGGCTAGGTAAAGAAGGGAAGTCAATATATCAGGTTTTGAAGCTACGTCGAGTGAGATAGCTGGGATAGCTGCAACACATGTTGAGCCACCCACCTTGTTCATCGGAAAATGTCAACTGACATAGAATCACATAGGAAAAGAATTAGGGGTTGTCAAACCAAAAACTGTCGTAAGTCCGTATAGTCCTCGACAGTTGGCTCGAACCAACTATGTACAGAGGTGTACACTGTCTGATTGGGTTCTTCAAGTCGCTAAGAACCACCGGTGGCACTAAACACTCCTGGTGATGTGGTTCGAAATCACTCTCAATGGCTCAGATGTATCCTCCCTTTGTGATTTCTCATATCTAGTAAACCTTTAGGTTTCCCCCTGTTACTATTCTTTCTCTCGAACAATCGTGATCTCCTTATAAAACGCTGAACCTCTGTGCAAAGTTTTACGTTGAAACTAAGCCAGCTACATTCCAAGAAATGAACATAAAACATACTAAGCAAATACACACCAACCCTCTCATTCTACGACCATTACAGCCATCTTAATCAAAATAAATACTACTCAAGCCGTTATGCACTTAAATAAATAAAAGAGCAACCAAATCATTAAATAGTGCAATTCTGTCTCATCTAGTGGATAGCGAACACTGCATTAAAGTAGATGAGTCATTTACAATTGTGTATCGAGTACCGAACAATCTCCCCAAAGGAACACGATTACGCCTCCCAGCCATAGCTAAGGCTATAGTGATTAATAGAGACAGACTAGACCTATGTGTACAGAAGAAACTTATGCACTCTCTTTGTCTACCCTGGCCCACTATGAGGTCACCAGGATCATAATTCTTCGTATTATTATTATCATTATTACGAGTTGATCACGGATTGATATCAGTTAGAGAATCATTGAAAACCAGCACTGGAGTACTGGACAGCTGCTGTTTCATCCTAGTTTGGGAATCATCGGCAGGACGCACCGACCAACAGGGTTCGAACCCAGGGCCTTCCGGTTACAAGGCAAGCTCGTATACCATTCAGCCATTGGGACCCGATTCAATGGCTCACGAATTCTAACTTCTACCAATTTGGGGTCGCGCTAAATCACGAATTGGTGGAAGTTAGAATTCAAGGGCCATTGAATCGGATCCCAGTGGCTGAATGGTATACGAGCTTGCCTTGTAACCGGAAGGTCCTGGGTTCGAACCCTGTTAGCTGGTGCGTACTGCCGATGATTCCCAAAATAGGATGAAACAGCAACTGTCCAGTACTCCAGTGCTGGTTTTCAATGATTCTCTAACTGATATCAATCCGTGATCAACTCGTAAAAACATAACTAAAGCTTACAAACCAAACTATAGAAAATTATCATTATTATCATTTTGTGATATCATGTCTTTACAATCCATTTCTCAACCCAGTTTATTTCACCTCATTGTTACCCTTAATTTTTGTCAACCTTTATGATTTTATACTGAGCCTACCAATTCTGTAGCATCTTATTACAATTTACAAATTAGCCTCTTTATTTTATCATTGGACATTATCGGTCAGGCCTCACATTCAGTGTCCCCTTTGTTAATATGTGTTTGTATAAATTTTGTGGTTATCGCATTTCTCTCACCCCAATGACACTTGTATTCTGTTGACTATGAAACAACACTATATCACCCAATTGTTCATTCACACTTCATCACATTTTTTGTGAGTAAACACCCTATACACATTTAATTGACTATGTTAACTAATAGAGTATCATGTCAACTTACACATGCACCCCAATACAGTTTCTGATATTATTTTCATTTGCCTTTATTGGCTGGCTATATGTACTCTCTATTATTCATGGATTTATAACTGTATAGACTGAAGAAGAAGTTATCGAAATCACAATTGTTCGTTCAAAATCTTGTTTTAAATAAATAATGTTAACATTAGTTATTAAAATGTAAAGACGTAATTCATTAGCCTGGGCGCTTGACGGGGTCGCGGGTGCGAACCCCCCCCCCCACACACACACACCTACTGATGTTTAAGCAGCCACGTGGTCATCACACACCAGGGGTGTGGCTCACTACCAACAGCATGGAACTGCAAGTAGATGTTGACTAACTGACTACAACACCTAAACTCAACTAACCAATTTTACTATGGGGGAACAATTCAATGGGAAAATTTAAATGCGTTGTACTTACCTCAACTGCTGGTGGACCGAAAATCTGTCCTGTTAAATTCATATATACAAATTCAGCTAATTCTTCTATTTTCGGTAGACTAAAGGGAATAATATTTTTAGAAAAAAAATGGGAAATATTTTATTAGCTGAGATAAAAGTAAACTAGCAAAAGATATGTGATGATGATGATAGTGCAATAATCTTGTACGAAGATATGAAGCTAAGCTTACTGCATGACAGGTAATACCCAGTTTTCCATACTGAATTAAGTGGAGAGGGATTCGAACTTGGGGGATTCATTCAGTAAGTGCAAGTTTAATCGTTAAGTCTATGAGGTAATCTAGACAAGGTATCAACTCAACTCAGTGTTACTCGACAACCACTTACAATTCCATCAAGCTGGTAATGAGCTATACATATTGTATATGAAGGCTAGTGCTACCGTGGTGAGAGCTGGCTGCTAGCCAAATCGGTAGAGAGTAATTTACGTCAATGTTTACGTCCCCGGAATCGGTCATGAGAAAAATAAGAACAAAGACTGACTCAACAACCAATCACAGCAGACTTTGCGTAGGCGAGTACAATTTGCAGATAAATAATCTGAACTTCAAGAAAGAAGGCCACAAAGAGATGAAAGATTAACGTTCAGCGAGAAACAGCCAATCAGAAGACTGTGTTTCTTTGCTCATAATAATCTATAATAACGTACATGAAAATCTATAAATATCTGTTGATTTCCCAAATAAACGATCTGTTGCCTGGTCCTTGTCTTCTGTTGCTACACTACTACCGAGGGTTGCTCAATCCACGAAGCATTCAGTGGCCTTAAAACGTGTGACCCATTAGTTGGAAGTCCAGAGCCCAGATCAATGAGTTACTGCTTCACTAGATAGTTAGTGTACAACAGAAGTCAAAAAAAACCAAATAAATAAAACTTGACGTTTCATTCTGTATATATATGGATGTTTCTAGACTGCTAAAGGTACATAGAACTTAAAAGAATTTTGATTGCGACGTTGTCTACTCATAAACTGATTATACACTTAACAAAACTACCAGTGCAAAAAAAACCCAGAGCAACTAGGTTCTTAGAGCGTAACTGATTTGTCTCCATAGGTTTTTGTACACTATTCTAGTAAAAGGCATATTTAACTAATATCACGATTGTGATATAACTATTACTACCAATTAAGCGAAGCCTACGAATGCGTCGGCTGGGAATCTAATCTGGATCATCTACGTGGTTGGTGAGTATTCTGCCAATGCACGATCGTCATTCATCATAATTCATTTAGTGGAACTTAGACGTTATAAACATCCCATCTCCATTTCTTCCTATTTTTCTGCAATCCACCTGAGCTGGCTGGCTCCACGATTGTTCATAAGCCTTCAAAAATCATTGGTGGCCTGCTTAATTCTTGGGCTACCAAAATGTCAATTCTACATATTCCATCTATTTCCTCGGATTTATTTTATTTTAATCATTCAATTATGTGTCCTAATCGAATTGTTTACTCTCGCGGTTATTTAAAACGTTTCCAACCGGCTGATTTACTGATTTCTAATAAACTTAAGAAAAAGCTTCTCAGAAAGAAAGCAGTACACCTTGTATAAAGGGAAGTCTTCCACTTCATTGCCCACTGAAGCTGGTGTCCCTCAAGGCGCTGTCTTTTCTCCTCTTCTTTTTTCTCTCTTGTTACATGACTTGCCTCACTCTGATGAAGTAAACTTTGTGAAGTACGCTGATGATTTAACAGTTTCAATAGCTGCTAACTTCCAGGTAGATTGTACCAAAATAAATAGCTTTCTGTTGGGAGTCAGTAAATGGTCTGAGTCTAACAGTCTTAAATTCAATCCTTCTAAATGTCAAACTGTTAATTTCAGCTTAAGATGTAAAAGGCAATTAAAAGAAGCCGTCGATTCCCATGACAGTTGTAAGATTGACGACAATGATATAGGAATTAAATCAGAAATTAAGCATCTTGGACTTATCCTCTTTCGTCTGATCTCTCCTGGATTTCCCATGTCTTGGCGATCTCCTGTAAAATATTCCGCCTGACATTTTACATTAAGAAGTTAAGTTACTCGGGTATAACTCAACCAAACCCTCCTCTTACAGTTCATAAACTCGTACATCCTACCTATTCTTCTTTATTGTTCACCCTTGCTTATTCTTTCCTGGTTTTCCTAAAAACGACTATGTCACAATTCGTAGAATGATGAAGACTGTCAGTAGGGTGAGTGGTGTTCCAGTGGACCACATAGTTAACGTCGTTGTCGATAGGCACTTGACTTCATGCAATAAATTTGCTAGAGGGATTTTGTCTGACTTGGAGCATCCACTTTACCCTCAGCTTTCACCTTGCATTTCCTCAGGTAGAACAAGAAGTAACTTCAGGAAACTGTGTATGCTCGCATGTCTAAGTATAAAAATTCTATGATACCACACTTGGCACGTATTTTATGTGATGAAAATAGTGTCAGGCAAGTTAATATATGTGTAAAACTTGGGCACTGTGGTAGCAAGTAATTCCATATTAGTTTGTTTATTAGATATATCACACAGTATTATTTACTGGATGACGTTTCGAACAAAATCTATTGTTGTTCATAATCATAACAACTGTAATCACACGACTTTGTCAGGCTAGTGTCAGGCAAGAATTAACTAACCTTTTTTCATCTAGTAAATAAACAATTTCCTCCATCCATCCTTTTATACCTTCAAGTTTTACTTTTATTACTTCTATCATATTTATGGTCCTGTTTCTTCTTTGATTTACTCTCATAATTACAAACACCAATTTATCTCTATGACTGCTGTAATCTTTGTTTTTCCCTTCACCATATCATGTAAAAAGAACATTATATTCAATATTTTTAAACATGCTAAGATTTCTATACCGAATCGACAATACTGTGTGAAACAAGCCCGCAGCAATTTTCACTTGTATCGTTATTATTACCTTAGCTGTTATCATCATTATTATTTCCATGTTTTTCCATGTTTTTGACATTACCCCTATTGTAAATGTGGAAAATTTTCTGTGTGATTAATTTTTATTTATAATTTGAGGAAATTAGATGCAATATTGTGATTAATGCTGAAAATTCCATTCTGTATCACAAGTAGTGTTTTTGGAATAAAGTAAATTATTATTCTTATTATTCATCTCCTCCACTCTACTATCGCATGGATTCTCAACTGAGTATTCATCATTCACGTTCAAACCGAGGGTGTGATCTGGGAGTGATTTCATTCAACGGTCTCCTCAGCGTGTGTCCGACCGATACATATTTATTTCCTACGGTATGCTGTTAGTTGAATAATAGGTTCTTGAATGGTTCCACTGCAGCGCCAGAGTTCCTTCTTGCTTATATCCTATATCGTCAGAGTAATGAAGATCCATATTGCCTTTCCGATTGTAGTTTTGACAACCTCTTCCATGCTGCCTGTAGTTGAAACAATGCTGCTGGAATAAGTGAAAAAAGGTGACTGCGTCTAAATGTCTCCCGTTGATGATGATTGATGTTCGCTGTTGGAGGTGGTTAGATATCTCCATCACTTCTGTCTTCCCAATATTCACTTAAACTTCTGTCTTCGCTACCTCTCCCGCCCCTCCGAGAAAATCAACTCAATCACTAAATAAAACCTCAACCAACACACACACATTAAGCGATATTAATCCCTCCTCTTTTTTTCTTCAGCTCAATACACCTCATCATAGATGTACTAATGGACTTAACCCTAAGTGACTTCAGCGACTCAGGGATTGACTTGTTACCATCAGGGAATAACCTCGTTGACTTAGAAAATGCAGACGATATAGTCCTTCTAGGTGAGGATGCTGACAAAATAAAGCAGGTCTTCTGAACGCCTTGAGCTGCAATCTACGAATGTTTGGCATGCGATTCGTTCCCTCTGTCAAATGTAAGATGATGTTACAGGATTGGACTACACTGACTCCTAACTTAGAAATAGGGAGTGAAGTGGTTGGTGGGACACGTTGACCGCTTCACTTATTTGGGAATTTGCATCAACCAGCGCCAATAGGTTGATCACTGACGAAATCTCAGCACGGATACAGAGGGATAGTTTCGCATATGCCAGTTTACGCCGTCTTTGGCTTAGTAGACGTGATATCCGGCTAGCTATCAGCCAAAGGGCGGATGTACTGCTCAGCAGTTCGCTCCATCCTCCTTTATGGCTGTGAGTGAGACCTGAGAGTGGAAGACATGAAAAGATTTGCCTGAGCTCTATCTCCCGTGTGAAGTGGTATAATAAGGTGAGCAATATTGAGGTTAGGCATCGGTAGAGTGCTAGATAAGGAGGTAGGGCAAATCAATCGACAAGACTGTGAAATTACATCGACTGAGGTGGTTAGGACATGTGTTACGTATGCCTCGCCATCGATAGCCTCCCTCGACGGGCAATGTTAGCTGACATAGGATGAATCAGGCTGGAAAAGAACTGTCGGCGGTCAAACCAAAACGTGGCTTCATCACTCAATGAAATTCATAACAGTTACTTTAAGCTCGTCACGTAGGAAGGCGTAGACTTCCTGTTTGGGGTCCGCGGGGCGGTAAAAACAGTCGGTGATATGGCTCAAAATCGTTGTTCTCAAAGGCTGGCGCAGATACATCCACTCCTTGTGACTTATGATTTCCAATGAAACTGTTTTGTTCTTCATTACTACTATCCCTTTGTCTCACACCTCTGTTTACTGTCTCTATTATGCATTTCTTCTACTTTCTTCTGTTGTTTTGTATGCTACAAGGAGTGAAGAGTGTGGCGACTTGAACTGCCGCACATCGGTGCAAAGTTCTATGTCGAAAACAGACAGGCAGACAGACTATTGGACACGTATAGCATAACTTTTGCTAACAAAAAAACACCGATTTCAATTAGTCAACAATTTTGAGAAGAAGAAAACTTTATACACGCGCACACACACAGACACAGACACACACCAATTAAAGATAACTTACTGTTTCAATGTTTTATGTTTCATTGAACCATGTAAATGTCCACTAATCCAAAAGCTTAATTCTTTAGCATAAATTAACCAGTGGAAATTCTCTTCTTGTCTATTTACATTAGCATTAACATTAACATCAGATAAATACTTTAACGTGGATTTATACAGCGTATATAAATCAGGATTTTCAATTAATACAATTGTACGATCCATAGACAGGGCATGCTGAAGTAATAACTCTTGTTTTTTATACTGAGGGAAATTTGCTTCCCAATGAACAGAGTGTAATTGATACTTTTCTTTTATACATTGGACACAAACTTTATTCTTTGAAGAAGATAGCGTAGAAGCAGAAGAAGAGGTGACGGATGACGATGTTGATGAAGTTGCTGGTGAGGATGATTGACTGACAACATGAAGATGATTAACATCAAGTGAAGATGATGAATTAGGTGAACAATGAGAACAGCTTGACAATAATCTGATAGCTGGTAAATTTGGTTCTGGAATATAACGATAATCCTGTGTCAATTCCTTAACTCGCATTCTTAGGGTAACACTGGAATTTAAGAAAAATGGGGAGAGGATGTCGGCGTGGGAAAATAATATATAAAATAATGACAAGTAAATTCAAATTAATGCCGATGATATACGTCTGATTTCTCACAAACTGGAAGATATGCAAGTGAAAAACAACAACTTGGCAGAGGAAATATCAAAAATAGTAAGGATTACAGGTGAATATGAAGAAAAAAGAGGTGACGAAGATTCCCGGCCAACATCAACAAACAACAATCAGCATAAATGGGAGGAACCTGAAAGAAACAACCTCCTTTACCTACCGACCTACCTAGGAAGCATCGTTTCAACTACAGGCGGACGGAACTGACGAGGATATCAAAGCCAGAATCGGAAAAGCAAGACAAGTTTTCATTACTCTCAAGTCTGTGTGGACGTCAACAGCACTCAGCATGAAAAATAAGATCCAGATTTTCAACTCCAATGTGAAGTCAGTGCTACTCACTATACGGATCAGAGACTTGGCCAGCGCGTCATAAAGAGCATCTCAAACAAACTTCACACCTTCATTAACAGTTGTCTTCGCTCAATACTACTCAAGATCAGATGGCCGACCAGAATAGATCACCAATAGTGAGGGATGTCTGGGGGGGGAACCAATCAGGAACCGATTGTGAAACAAATAGGCAGGAAGAAATGGAGGTAGGTGGATTGGCCATACTCTGAGGAAACCATCAAGTAACATCACTAGACAAGCTATTGATCGAGTGGAACCCGAAAGGGAAGTGACGAGTTGGTCGTCAGTACGAGGTAGACTTGGAGGAGGTCATGTGAAGAGGAAATGAAAGCATGTCGGCAGACTTGGAGCGGAGTGAAAAAGTAGAAAAAGCAGAAAACTGGAAGCAATGGAGATGCGCGGCTGAAGCCATATGTTCCTCTAGGAATTAAAGGATATAATAATAAATAACAATAATAATAACAATAAAAGCAAACACCAAGTCTCAGTCGGAAGTATTTTTCCTACTGACTAGTTCAAGTGTAACCTTGTTTTCAACAAAAAAAATGTTGATAATAATAATAAAACGTACTTGTTCACGGAATCATAAGATCTAGTTTCATGAACAATTTGACCACCAGTTTTAAGTACTTCCGTTTGACGCTTGATTTCATAGTCTGGGAAAGGAGGAAAATGCATGTCCTATAGAATATTTTATTATAGACAATACGGTAAAGTTCTACAATAGTGTCGCAAAGGATGCGAACGCACGAGTGACCTTGAGTCGACCAATCAGAAGATAGGAGGAATTTCCACAAAAAATTACGTATATTTACGTAAGAAAAAAAGTATGAAAAAAAGCCATTAAACAGGGTAATTTTGTCTAATATGAGATAAAAAGATGTCCCAATTATAATGAGGAGTATCAGTTCTTAAATTAAACCAATTCCTATACAAGTATTCATCAAGGTGACTAAAAATAACTTGATTTTGAGAGCCATTTATAACTCTTACTCTATTTTTAAGTCTTTCTCAGAAATCTTCCATTGAATTAGTATGCGTACCAGTTCTGGGATCGACGAAGTCATCAGAATGGTTAACTCAGTGGTGTATATATCCCAAATCGGATAATCGGTTATATGCTGCCCATTCATCCGTGTGTATGTTAGTGCCTGGCAAGACAAGTCCCTGAATAATAGGGAGAAGAGTGTCGGCACTCCTGTGTGAAATAAGTTCAATAAATCCTTTCCAAATTTGAGTGCCGTAAATACCCGATACCCAAACGTTATTTGCTCTAGCACGTCCCCGATTGTAGTCCTTCTTTATAAGCACCGTTTCGTCAATATGAACGACAACACCGACTCTTTACAACACTTGTGTAATATTGTTCATTTTCCATGACGTTAAATCTCGACAATTTTGGAACCATAGCACAGTAGACGTCAACATATTATCTATCTGAGCGGCAGTTGACCTCACACAGGACTTCAAAATCCAGTAATGACATAGAAACAGTATATTCGTCAAAAAAAGTTTCGATTTTTCAAAGAAAGTTTCTAGAAGACAATTAACTGAGAGTATCACTTGCCAATACGAACACTTATTCGTTTCCTACACTCTGTACAGGTTCATTTAAGCACCACAGCTACATATACGAGAACATCCAATCAATCCATTAATCCAGGCAGTATTGAAATACATGATCTGGGTGAAATTTGCATCTGAGTAGATGAACACCGTTCATTTTCGCTCTAGTAGTTTACTCTAGTAAGTTTACTCAACCAACGACTAGCAAGCGTTCAAGATCATTTGAGCGTTCGTACTCCTGGGACGCTATTGTTGAAATTCGCCGACAATACAACAAACTATATACCAGGGGATCACAATATCCTAACATAACCAATTGATCATACCCTAAGAAACGTATGTCAAAAAGGAAGCAGATATTTGCAGAGTAAAACTGCCAGACACACTGTGGATGGATACGGGTCATTTCGTTGAGATTTCCAAATCCTTCAGAATATTAAACATACAAAGAACAGCAAATCTATTACAATTTGCTCAAGCAGTTGCAATCAAATGTTTTGAGCCAAACTTATGCATACAGAAAGAGAGTGAAATCAAATCTCTCACTCCCTTGGTTATCAGTCGCTCTACGTCGTGAATTGGCAGAAGTTAGGATTCATGGACCATTGAATCAGGTCCCAGGGGCTTAATGGTCTTCTAGCTCGTTCGTCTTGCAACCAGAAGGTCCTGGGTTCGAACCCCGGTGGGTGCGTACCGATGGAGAGTCCCAAACTAGGACGAAACAGCTGTCCAGTACTCCCTGCTCGTTTTCAATGGTTCTCTAACCAATGTCAGATCATGATGAAATCGTATAACTAATCAAATCCTTACAAACCAACACTTGAATATCATTTTGATTACATTGATTAATCATCCATATTAGTGATTTAAGTTCACTGAGCAAGTTCCCAGCCTTATGAACTATAAACTTCTTGAGTTGCTATATGAACTTATAAGCTAGCAAGACTAATTGATTAGGTTTTTTCTGTTTCCTATCTTCTTCTCCTCTCTCCCACGTCCTTTTCTATTTTGAAAGCACAGAAATTGATGGTAACTTAAACCAGAAATTTTAATGCGGCTTACATTTCGAATGCGTTAATTCTATAATGTTTTCTGTACTACCTTTTAAACATTGAAGTATGTCATTGTCATTTTTTATAACCGTATTAATTTCAGGTGGTAGTGTGCAGCTGATGAGATGAGATGATGATGTGAGCGTCGGTGGCACAGTGGTTAGGACTCTCGCCGACCATGCATATGGTCCGGGGTTTGATCCCTTGCCGACGCACACCTGATATCTATGGTCCGCCTGCAAAATTTGGGCTACCGATATCACATGCTGAAAATTCCATACTTGTACCGAAAAATACGGTGTGGAATCAAGCTGCAATTAAAAAAAACCTGTCAAATAGAATGGTGACATTTTATATTTGGTCTTTCTTTTTACAATTTTGACTACGGATCGATATCAGTTAGAGAACCATTGAAAATCAGTCACAGGGAGTACTGGACAGCTGTCTCATCCTAGTTCAGGAATCATCCGCAAAATGCACCCACCACAGCCAGCGTTTGAACCCAGGACCTTCCGGTCACAAGGTAAGCTGGCTAGTATACCATTCAGCCAGCCACTGGGACCCAATTCAATAAATTATAAATAAACGAATTTATGCAATCTGAGTAAATAACAAGAGCATCGGTGACTCATTGATAGGATGCTCATCAATCACGCCCATTGTCCAGGTTCGATTTTCGCCCGACGCACTTCTGAAGACGTCGCCTAGTTCACTAGTCAATAGTAGGCTCAGAGAAAAAGCGAATTTTTGCCGGAAGGATATCAAATCCACCGCGTAAAGACGACAATGTTTTACCGCTACTGAAACGTCACGGCTTAAAGCCCCTTTTTTCATTTGTTTGGAAATAAACCGTATATTTCTTACGTAAGAATTAATAATAGCGTCCAGTTCCACTTGAACAATACTGGTGAGTGGATTTGGGAATCAAAAGCCCATTACAAAATGTATTACAACTTTAAAATAAAACACTTTATGAGATGTTTTTATTACAGCTTGATTCCACACCGTATTTTTTGGTACAGGTATGGAATTTTCAGCATGTGGTATCGGTAGCCCAAATACTGCAGGCCGACCATAGATACCAGGTGTGCGTCGAACCATATGCAGAGAGTCCTAACTACTGTGCCACCAACGCACAAGTAGCCGAGTAATTAAACACAATCTGTCCTGAAGGCATCTAAACTCCAATTAACTGTACATTTCAAATGTAACATACAGCTTCAAGCTTTTGAATTTTCACTAGTAGTGGGATTGCTTTTACGAGATAGTATATATATATATATATATATATATATATATATATAACACCAGTCTTAGATCCAACCTCCATCCTTTTCTGAACTTACTGTTCGCCTAGGCGGGGTTTAGGAATACTTCACTGTTCATTTGAACAAATAATTCCTTTTAAGTGTTGGTTTGTAGGGATTCGATTGATTGGTTACAGGATTTCATCATGAGCTGACGTTGGTTAAAGAACCATTGGAAAGCCTCCAGGAAGTACTGGTCTGCTATTTCGTCCAACTAGCTTGGGACTATTGAGCAGTACGCACCCACCCATCCCCAGGGTTTGAAACCAAGACCTTCTGCTTACAAGGCTAGCTAGCTAGCTAGCTCGTAGACCATTCAGCCACTGCGAACCGATCCAATGGACTGTACACGAATGCTGACTTCTGCCAATTCACGATATACCGCAACCCCTAGCCAACGTCATCGGAGGAGAGTATCTGTCCTTACACCTGATCCTGCTGTACCCAAATGTTCACAACTTTACACTGGAACCCAGGTAACTATCTACCTACCTGAATAGGGCAAGTCGCCAGTGAGCATCTCATCGATATTCATTCAAGTGTTGGTTTGGTATGAAGCGAGAAATTATTTGTATATAAAGTATGCCAGTAAATATGCAACTTCCTATCATATACTAAGGCACACTATAACTACTGTAAAAGAAAATCACTAACAAACCCACCTATTGAATTGATCACATCATGAATACTATTTAAATTTTTGATTTCAACTCGAGGATTTTGATTAGCTGCATCTTCACCAATCGATACATTGACATCAACCCGTAGTTCTCCGAATGCACCAATAGCATTACAACATTTTAAGTGTTTTAGTAGCCGTGATAGATCAGTAATGAAAGCAGCAGTCTGATCAGATGAATTAAAATCCGGTTCAGTGACTATTTCAATAAGTCCAACATCTAAAATTAAAAATCAAATCATATGCGGTAGAAAAAGCCTAATATGAAGCTAAAAAGTGATTTATAGACTACTGTTCGTGTGAATGATGACAACAGCAATTTCGATGGTTTGTACCTCCATGATCAGAAAGACCTTAGAATCATATTATTCCTTTTTTCATAATAGTAATTTATTTTTACGATCGCCGTCAATACTCAGTCAATGGGTGTACCATTAGTGCGTCGGTTGCACAGCGGTAGAATGCTCGCCAACCAGGCATGTGGTCCGGGTCCGATTCCCGGCCGACGCACTCCTTTATCTCGCTAACTAAGCCAGTAATTAGACTGGTAAAGACTGAGGAAGGTTGGGCATATGGCTAGCAACCTCATCCCGTAAAAAATAAACATCACACTGCTACAGAAACTTCAAGCCTGTATAGCCTGAAGCCCTATGTTCCACTAAGAACGTAAAGGCATGAAAAAAATCGCCGTCAATGATGTTCCTGACTGTGGGGTGGGTGAGAAGACAGGAATACGTCGGATAAATGAAAGGACACTGGGAGATCTGGTGGACTTAGTCGGTACTTTGTGTCTGACGTTAGAAAAACTCGAAGATCTACTTGGTTGGTAGAAGAGGCAGGCAGAGGAGACAGTACTCCAAGTGGACATCGAGAAGGCGGAGGTGATGAAGATAGAACGATAAATTTGAACGAGGCCACTTTTTTCACTTATCTAGGCAGCATTGTCTCAACTACAGGCATCACGGAGCCTATAGCCCAAGAACATGCAAAAAGAAATGTAGGTGGTTTGGACACTCGCTGAGGAGGCCGTTGACTGACGTCACGTATCGCACCCTCGAGTGTAATCCCAACAGGGAAACAGTGAGTTCGGTGTGGGTCCGAGGGAGACATGGGGGAGATCGTATGAGGAGGAAATGAAGGCTTGTGAGCAATCCCAGAGCCAGCTGAAGAGGACTGCAGGGAAGGGGACGAAACGGAGATATGCTATTGAAGGTCTATGTTCCACTAGGAATCCAAAGGAATAATAATAATAAGACTAAGTATAAATACATAGAAGTACTGGGGTAACGACAGAAGACAAACGCCAGGCAACAGATCGTTTATTAAGAAAATCAAGAGGTATTTTATAGACTTTCAGGTGCATTTTTATTAGCGTTATTGTTAGCGGAGAAGCAGCTTCTTCTGATTGGTTGTTTTCTTGCTAAAGTTACTCCGTATTGCCTGTGACCGTTTCTCAGAAAGTTAAGCCATATATCTGCGAATCGTATTTGCACACGTTAAGTCTACCACGATTGGCTGGTGATTTTCTCAAGGTTAAGCTATGTGATTGTTTTTTTCATGACCCTGATTCGCGACGTCAACATTGACGTAAAATGTTGTCTACAATTTTGGCTTGTTCGCAGACAGCTCTCCGCCACACTGGGAAGAGATGCATTAGCTGATTGGTTGTACTATGCATATCGCGACTTGAAAGAAGTTGGGATTCATGGGCCATCGAATTGGGTCTCAATGACTGAATAGTACAAAGGCTCGCCCTGTAACCATAAGGTCCTGGGCTCGAACCCCAGCGTATGAGTACAGCTTATCAAGTCGTGACTGAACCTGTAACCAATCAAATCCCTGCAAAACATCACTTGATAATGTGCTCCACTGATATCGATCTTGCACGGAATCATATCTGGTCTATGTTATGAGAGTAACATGACTTGCAGATATCAGTTAGAGAACCATTGAAAATCAGTCACAGGGAGTACTGGACAGCTGTCTCATCCTAGTTCGGGAATCATCCGCAGAATGCACCCACCACAGCCAGGGTTTGAACCCAGCGACCAATCAGGGTAAAATAAAATCAAAATCTCTGACCAAAACATCTTGTCAAAATAACATGAAAAATGGGCGGAAATTACTTTCGTTTTTAGGAGGCAACATTGATTACAATGATTACGCAGTCTAAAAACACGCGAACAATTTAAGATTTTCATCATAACACACAAAAGCCGTCACTCACTATAATACTGCCACAAATTGCCTTGACTTACCTGAACGATTTAAATCGATTAAACTACAATCACCATGGACATCCTGTAAAGTCTTGCCCGAGTCCTGTTCAATCTGTATCCTTTTAATACGAGCTTGAGAACGATAGTAACTTTGACCATTGATACTGTGCACAATTTCTGTATACAAAGGAGGCGATTTAGTCTCCCATGAATTCGGTGACCAAATATACTGTAAACATCCATATTCAGCAATTGGTTTATAATATTGAGTTATCTGATAACCAGCTGGTAGATCTGCATAGAAATAATGCTTCCTGTCAAAACGTGACGTCATATTGATTTTACAGTTTAATCCAATTGAAGCAACGAGTCCCAATTCAAGACACTGGCGATTTAGTATCTGTTCATTAACATGATAAAAGTATTATAAATAAGAATACGGTGTCTATAAAGTCTCTTTTAGAAATGTTTAGGCAAGTGGTGTGCAGGTGTAGGACTACGCCATATTACCTAACACGACAGGTATGTACATATATGCGGTTATCTTTCGACGATAAATAATATTCAATGTAGATTTCGTCCTGGATTGGGGCTCTTCAGCTCATTGACGACTATTGCACAGATATCCTGAAAATATAATATCACTCTATGAAGTTATCTTTTTTGTTTTATTTTATTCTTTTACATTTCTACTGTAACACGGGGCTTCAAGATAGAGCTTGGTAATCCGACACCAAACCTTTCCCCTTTACTAGCCCTACTACCGGCTTAGCGAGCGAGGTTTAGGAATGCGCCGGCCAAGGGTCGATCCCCGGGACACGTGTATATTTGGTGAGCATTCTACCACTGAACCGCCGATGCCGCGTGGTTAACAGCATTGATACATTTAGTCAATTACATGTTTCATTGAGCTATAATCTACAATAAGACACAAGTAGACAGCAGTACGCACCCAGCGGGGTTCGAACCCGAGGACCTTCTGGTTACAAGGCGAGCTAGCTCGTAGACCATTAAGCCACTGGGACCCAATCCAATGGTCAGTCAGTCCATGAATTGTAACTTCTGCCAATTCACGACATAGAGCGACCATTTCTCAATGTCTTCTTCGATGAGTTACTGCTGGCTCATCTTCAACTTGCTGTACCCTACTAGTCACGGTTTCCCACTAGAACCTAAGGTTATCTTTTTTTTTTTTTATTTTATTTTTTTTCATTATTTTATTATTTATTTATTTATTTATTTATTATTTTATTATCTGCCTGAATAGGGCTAGTCGCTAGTAAACATCAGTACCCCCAGGTTTTCCAGTGATTCTCTAACTGATGTCAGCTCATGATGAAAACCTCCATGCAATCAAACGAAATCCCTACAAAAACCAATACTTGAAAAAACACAAGTAGAGACAGTTGACAAATTTTATACTGTGACAAAAAGATAAGCGCACGACAATGAGCCATATCTATTGGTCAGGTTGCAAAGAGAAAATTATATTGCTGTGCAAACTTCATCAAGAACTAATATCAGCTGGGGAATCATTATTATTATTATTATTCCCCTGGGTTCCTAGTGGAACATAGGGCTTCAACTCCACGTCTCCACTTGCCGCTTCTGTCTTCCTTCTGCTGTACTTTTCACCTGCATCCATCCATGTTAGTCCATACTCTTTCAACTCCTCTTCACACAATCTCCTCTATGTCACCCATGCACTGACGTCCCACTCGCCGCTTCCCTTTCGGCCTGGTTCCACTCGAGCAATGGCCTGACGCGCGCGCGATGTCATCCAGCGGCCTACTCACCCAGTGTCCAATCCATTGCCATCCACTTTCTCCTGTATATTTGCTGTTTGGCGATTGGTTCTTGTTTTGACTGTTTGTTCCCAGCCATAGTTTCTTGTTGGTGATTCTTTCCGGCCCGCCCATCTGATCTTCAGTAAAGAGCTAGCGAAGACAGTTAGTTGTTGATAAAGATCTGCAACAGGCTGTTGGTTGAAAATATTCTTTGTGACCCTCCAAGTTTCTGATCCGTATAGAAGAACTGACTTGACGTTTGCATTGAAAATCCGACCGAATTTTGTTGTTGATGCAGGCTGAGTGACGAAGATTTCCAGATAGGTTTCAGATTTATTGATGAATGGGTTTCTCGCCTTCTAGATTCTCGCTCGATTTGACATCCTCGTCCGTTCCGACTTCCTGTAGTCGAGACAATGCTCCCTAGATAAGTGAGTGAATGAAGTAACCTCTTTCAAATCCATCCCGTTGATGGTGATTGACGGTGGATATTGTTGTTGTTGTTGGTTGGTTGGTTATTTTCATAACCTCCGTCTTGTCTATGTTTCACCTGGAATCCTATCTTTGCCGGCTGCTTCTTCGACCAGTTTGTCGGTTTTCGCTTGCCTCTAAGTCTTCGATTTTGTGTGACATCAAACATAAATCATCCACTAGCGAAATTCAGGTCTTCTAGGTTCTTAACGTTTATTGGTTCAGGATATCCCTGTCTTTTCGTTTCCCACTGTCTGACGCACAATCCAGCCCACCACAATTAGGAATATCATTGGTGATAGATAATAAGCACCCTTGTCTGACTCCTGTGTTTACTCCAAACGCTTCGCTGAATTTTCCGTTGAGGATCTCTTGACATGTGCCGTTGTCGTACAGCTGTTGAGTAGGGTTGATGAATATTTGGGGTCCGCCATAGTACTCGAGTAATTTCCAAATTACTTCGCGGTCAACGCTGCCCGTTGAAGGCCTTCTCAAAGTCTATAAAGTTGAGGTAGAGTTAGGTTTGATTGCCATTCCATGCTTCGTTCTGTGATGATGATGCGTAGAGTTGCAATTTGGTCAGAACATGATTTGCCTTTCCTGAATCCAGCTTGTTCTGGTGGGAGTTCTGCATCTAGTGCGTCCTTTATTCTCTCCAGGATGATGCGACTCAGGATTTTACTTGGCGTCGACAGGAGCATGATTCCTCGCCAGTTCTTTCAGAGTGAGGCGTAAGTTGCCCTTCTTTGGTAGTTTCACGAGGTAACCTTTCCTCCAGTCAGTAGGCACCTTTCCCTCCCTTTTGCAATAATGGAGTCAGCATATCTGCTGTCGTCTCTGGGTCCGCTTTCAGTGCTACAGAAAGTATTCTGTCTGGTCCAGCCGCTTTTCCAGCTGGACCAAATGGAATATATATATATACCAAACGAAAATCAATATTTCTTCACTCATGATTTGATTTTTATTATTTAAAAAAACAGCCTATTACTTCAACTTACTGGCATACTACCAGGCATTGCAACATCATGCAAGCCTAATTGGGTATTTGAAGGAGCTGCAAATGTATAAGGTGTTGGGGTGAAGAGCTTGCTTTTAACCGCTAACTGAGCATGTATCTCCAAACCAATTAAAGGTGTGTAATTTTTTACAGCAGGTGAAATTCCAGTAGAATATTGTAGGCAGAGAAAATTTGTGCATCGAGTAGTGGACCGGAGTAGCCTTTTATGCCGTAAAACTATTCCCATTCTGTACACGTTGGCAATTCTAAATGGAAAGAAAGTAAACAGAATTGTAATTGTGTATACGGAATAATGGCAATAAGAGACATTTTGTATAGACAAGTTAGAGAAGAATAAAAGCATGCATTTTAAGGATTAGAGTATTTTGCCAGGGTAAACATCATCTTTCAACCACAGTCACCAATACTTTATCTCCTCTGGTTTGTAATCCAATGACTTAGAAATCTTAGTTTATATCCTATACTCGATAGATTTCAATGGTTCCCTAAATGGTGTCAATTTGTAGTGAGATCTGCTCTTAGAATTAATCAGAAGTCTTTATACCTGATGGATGGATAAGCAATACTGAACGATGTTGTCATTTGTTAACTGATTCATTTCCCTGCATATCAACCAATCTTAATAGTGTGGTCTTTAAGGGGCAATAATGTTGTTCTTCAAGTTTCTATGGACTTTTTTTACTGACGACTGGGAATAAATACGAAATACCAATTCAAGGATATCGCCTACCTGTTTACAATCACCTTAAAGTTGACAAACAAATAATCTGATGACATTAGATAGTTGAAGGCAATCGCCCACAGGAAGCCTTGCTGGGACCTAGGTTTCCTGCTAGTCGGCACTCACAAATCAGTCAGCAAGGCGTATCTGCAACCAGCTTGAAGGAACTCATTCGCCTTCTGAGATTCAAACCTCCGTCACCCAGTGAGTACTGCAGGCAGAGACAATAACACTGAGCTATTCGGGATCGCGATTGAGCTCCTGTAGGCATGTAGTGGGTATTTTGATTGGACACTAGTAACTAGTGTGACGTGTCTAGTCCTTTCTTTGGTACAGACGGAATTCTATCAGTCTGGTTTGTAGTGTGGCCACCATTCTAGGTTGCTCGCCATCACGGTGCACACTGATTTAAAGACACTGGATGGTACCGTCTCTGACTGCAGCACTGGATGAGTCGGGTTTGAATCTCAGAAGGCGAATGAGTTTCTTCAAGGTTGCAGATACACCTTGCTGACTCGTGAGTGCCAACTAGCACGAAACCTAGGTCCCAGCAAGGCTTCCTGCCGATCGGCTCCAACTATCTAATATCATCAAATCAATGTGCATCGTGAAGGTGAGCTACCTAGAATGGTAGCCACATCGCAAACCTGACTGATAGAATTCAGTCTGTACCAAAGAAAGGACTAGACACATCACACTAGTTACTAGTGCCCAATCAAAAAATAAATAGTCTTTTGAAAAACTCCAAACCAGATGACACCAACTGGATGACTGGACATTTTAGTTGTAAACAACAACACTTGGTAGCAGGATTTCATCATGAGCTGACATAAGTTGGAGAACCATTGGAAAACCAGGGGCTACTAGACAGCTCTTCCCCTTCATTCGGAGCTCTTCAATAGTATGTACTAACAGTCAGGGCTCGAACCCAGAAACTTCCGCTTACAAGGTGAACTCCTGGATCATCGAGTCACTGGGACCCCATTCAATGGCCCGTGAATTTCAACTTCTGCCAATTCACTATATAGTGCGACCTCTAGCCAATGTCATCGGCGAGTATGTCTCCTCACATCCAACTTGCTGTATCCCAATGGTAACGACTTCCCACTAGAATCCAGGTAACTATCTACCTAAATAGAGCTAGTTGGTAGCAATTAGGCTACAATTTACTGTCGGATACTTACGAAACTGGAGACTAATCAATACTTTGATGCATGAGTCTATGAAATACACTTCTTGCATAGAGGCTGGCTGTTTAAAACAATGGAAATTTTAAAAAAGCAATTAAGTCAAAGAAAGATTGTCGAAAAAAAATCCCAGTCTTTTGATGAATATTACTCACAATCGAAGGAAAAGGTCACCAAGTTACAGTCTGGAATTTTTATGAAAATCCATTTCACGAAAACATTAGGGAGTGGTGTTTATTTTTACAGAATGGGGGTTGTTAGCCTCATGCACAGCCTCCCCTTTTTATGAATCGCATTACCGGCTTAGAGAGCTTTATGAGGCTGCAGGTCGCGGGGTTCGAACCACGAACCATATGTGTGATTGGAGAGCATTCTACCGCTGTACCACAGACACACAGACTTCCCAACCAAGTAAGTAAAATTACGAGATCACTCTACTGTAGGGTACTACACTAATATTTAGATAACTTATAGCTTTAACGTCTATATGTCTTCAACATACAGACTCTAATCTGGGCAAAATCTTACACCAAGGGAAATTTAGGAGGCTTAAAACTAGTTAGTAAAACTATTATATCAGTAGGGATTCATTGACAGAATGCAAGCCAGCCAAGCAGTTAGGTCTAGCTTCGACTCCTTGCTAACTCACTTCTAAGCTCTGCCCAGTTTATCTGTTGAAATTAACCCAGTATTTCCCGTTGGGATGTTCGGTCTACGTGTTGATATGTTAGCACGTCATACGGACGATGGGTGGTTGTCTCGAGTCTCAGTATTAACATCACCACAACTCATAGAGGATGACAGGTACAACAGCTGGATGACGAGTTGCAAACAGAACAAAATGCACATCCTGGATTCTTCTGATCGTAAACATAACAAACAATACAACTTTTAAACAATGAATCAAGTTGAAATGAATTTGGATGTGACTGACTGACTGACTGACTAAGACTCAATAGCCCGGTACCGGGATATAGGCCACACTTTTCATGTGTGAACTGATGATACTACCCAGTTGCCTAGGCTGAAGTACGCACTGAGGGATTCGAACCCGGCACCCGTTAGAGCTCGAAGTCGAGTGTTTAAACCAGTGAGCCACATCTACACGGACCGGATTGATGAGCGACCTTTAGGTATTTTGAATATTTATGTAGTTCTTGAATGTTTTCTAGTTTCACTTGACTGCAATGAATTGAGCAACTTCAGTAATCTAATGAATTACGTTTTACCTAATGTAGCGTAAGTACTACGTGAAGGCTGAAAATGCTTAAATATTAAAAAATAAAACTTATCACGCTCAGAAGAATTTCAACGGTTATTTTTGTGGTTATCGGGGAGACTTTTACTCAGTTCAATTTGAAGCAGCCTTCATTTATCGCCATGTTCAGATTCTGTCAATACCAGCCTCCATCCTATTTGATTAATACCATTCAGTCTACACAGAGCTATTAATGATAATAAACAAATTATTGGCTTGGTTCCCAGATGATATCAGTTGGAGAACCGTTGGAAAGCCAAAAGAGGAGTGGTGGACAGCGGTTTCACCCTGGTTTAGGAGTCTTCAAAGGTGCGCACTCACAGGGGCTTTCCGGTTACAAGTCTAGCTCACAGAACACTCATTCACCGAGTTCCGACTCAATGGTCCATGGATTCCAGCTTCGGATAACTAGCAATGTATACATATGTATTTTCTAGTATTGGTTTTGTAGGGATTCTGTTTGATTGCATGGAGGATTTCATCATGAGATGACATCAGTTACAGAACCACTAGAAAACCTGGGAGTACCAGACAGCTATTTCGTCCTAGTTTGACATTCTACATCAGTACGTACCCACCGGGATTCCAGCGGTTCTCTAACTGATGTCAGCTCATGATGAAATCCTCCATGCAATCAAACAAAATCTCTACAAAACAAATAATTGAAAATTAATCTGATGCTCACTAGTGACTGGTCCTATTCAGGAAGTTAACCTGGGATTCTAGTTGGAAACTGTGACTAGTAGGGTACAGCAGGTTGAAGATGAGCCAGTAGTAACTCATCGAAGAAGACATTGAGAAATGGTCGCGCTATGTCATGAATTGGCAGAAGTTACAATTCATGGACTGACTGACCATTGGATTGGGTCCCAGTAGCTCAATGGTCTACGAGCTAGCTCGCCTTGTAACCAGAAGGTCCTGGGTTCGAACCCCGCTGGGTGTGTACTGCTGAAGAGTCACAAACTAGAACGAAACAGCTGTCCAGTACTCCCAGGTTTTCCAGTGGCTCTCTAATATATATATATATATATATGTAGCGCAACAACCAGCCGGTATTATAGGTGAGTAACTATTCCCTTACTTGACTTGGTGGAACCCGCTGGTAAGGTAAGAGGACAGTTACTTACCGATAACGTTGGCTGGCGGATGGCTATCTATGTCACGAATCATTAAAAGCTGGAATGTATAGCTGAACGGTTTACCAACAGCTTTCCTTGTAAGCAGAAGGTTGAGGGTTCGAACCCTGGTGGGAGCGTAATAGTCTTAAACTAAGACAAAACCTCTCTCTGCAGTAATCCCCCCCTTGTCGCCTTTCAAATGGTTTTCCAACCGATGATGTCAGCCCATGATCAAAACAATGAAATCTCAGCAAATCAACAATTGAAAAAGCAAAAACAAATTCTTATTAATATCATACATGCTTTCCACGGGTAATAGCCCATCATACTATATACTATAGTATACAAACATAAAATAGCCTGTGAATAAATGAACAGGCCATACTTGGAGAAAACAAAACGAAGATTTCTCCTCCCCCATAAAATAATTTTTTTAAAAACAGTTTGTTTGTTTTTTTATTGTGAGATTAAAATCCAATCAAATTTGCACAATATTACAGGAAGAGACATACAAAAGAAAGCAAAGAAACCTAATGTAATATTTATCGGGACATTAAAAGAGAAATTAAAATAAAGAATATATATATATATATTATAAGGGAGTAATGATTATGTCTCATCGATACGTGTAATGGTAATAATGATGATAATAATACGTAGAAGAAGCAGAAGAAGCGGATTAAATTTGCGCTTCAACCACTGAACCGTCCGCAGCACCAGCAATAGGCACAATCAGGTTATCCTTGCTCATTAGATTATATTTTAACACAAATGTTGTAAATCTTCGACATAATGCAGTTGATTCCTAGGCGGTGGGCGGGGGTTATTAAAAGAAAAATAAACAAACAAAACGAAAAACAACATAATTAACCTGATGATCAAAATTTTAAGCGATAAACTTTAAAAATATTTGGTCAATAAAAATTATTATGAGCTGACATTGGTTAGAGAACCACTGGAAAACCTGGGGGTACTGGACAGCTAACTAATGTCAGCTCATGATGAAATCCTGTAACCAATCAAATCCCTACAAACCAACACTTGAATATCAATGAGATGCTCACTAGCGACCTGCCCTATTCAGGTAGGTGTTTACCTGGGGTTCTAGTAAGAAGTAGTGACCAGTGGGGTGTAGCAGGTCGGGTGTGAGGACAAATATTCACTACCGATAACATTGGCTAGTGGTCGCTCTATGTCGTGAATTGGCAGAAGTTAGAATTCATGAGCCATTGAATTGGGTCTCAGTGGCTCAATGGTCCACGAGCTCGATAGTCTTGTAATCAGAAGGTCCTGGGTTCGAACTCCCGTGCGTGCGTGCGTACTGCTGGAGAGTCCCAAACTAGGCTGACAAAACAGCAGCTGTCCAGTACTCCCAGGTTTTCCAATGTTTCTCTAACCAATGTCAGCTCATGATGAAATCCTGTAACCAATCAAATCCCTAAAAACTGACACTTAAAAAATTATTATTAATATATACTCACTACTTTGTGTTCTGAATAAAACATAAGTAGTCCTTTAGCCAAACCATTATTTCACTTTATTCTTTGTAGATATTGCCAACTGATCACCGGTTGAATTTCGATTATTTAAGCCAATAAGCTTTATCTTCACCGAAGTATAACGACAAGGATCCCACTGCCTTGTGTATGAGAAGTCAGAGATCTCCTGATCTTTATCAAAAACCGAAACCATTGAAAAACAAACATCTCTTGATTGACTCAGTATTTCCTATGATACACTCAGTCTTGACAGTTTAGTACCACTTCTTTAAATGGTATTTCAATTTTTTCCAAAGTGTATGAACTCGACAATGACCCACATCTATGTAATATCCGAGGATGACTTATCAGTCATTCATTTTTATTTGATAATTCTGACTTGGCCTAAGTTACAAATGGCTATCAAAGCATGCAGGCTACATATATTGAGGCACATTTAACATATAACGATCCACAATATCGCCTAGATGTTTATGAATCAGTTAGTGGGGCGGTCTCAACACCCGTAACCCACAGAGTCGTAGAACGACCTGGAAGAGCGCCATACATCATAGATTTATCTCATAATCTAGTTTATATGTGTGTACATAACCAGTTGTTTTCAATTTACTCTTGAATCCACACAAAAAACTTCAACGATCTGGACTTCACCCATGATGGTATGTGTCTGAATTCCCACAAACTGGAAGATATGACATGTACATAGGGAGGACCCATCGGTCTCTGCACATTACTGCTACAGAACACATTCCAAAGTGGCTGCAACAACAAATAAAATCGCCAGACACATTTGACTCCGGAAATAGATGTCCAACATCATCTATAGCGAAGTACATTATAGAGACGGGTCATAAGGTTGATTTCAACAATGCCTTTAAGTCGATATATAAAACAGGGTTGGATCACATACTTAAATTCATCAAAGCCTTAGCCATAAAACGACTTAAACCTGTCTCATACGTCCAAAAGTTATTTGTTATTACTTCACACCTGCCTTGGTAATCCAAATTAAAACCAAGGATCAATTTACTTCATAGAATTTTCAACCCCTTCTTTGCTCTGTATTTTGTTCTCTTTTTCTCTTTCTTACTCACACCTTTGTGTCATCTCCCTACCCATTATTTGTGACCTTGGCCTGTACACAATCTGACCTGTATAGTAATTATTCATGCCTTCTTGACTTCTATAAAAACTATGTATGACAAGTACGCGTGTAATCAGAATGTCCGAAATGTGTTTCGCAAACACACACTGCATTACACGTATCAGATAAGCTATCTGCATCTTCTTATTGTGTTTTCGAAATTCATAAAGAGAACTAGTTGCTTTAAATAATGAAACCAATAAGTCGGATAGTGTTATAAAACTAATGAGGTTAGATAAACAAGAGAAAGGATGGAAACGCTACAATTTTAATATGTAAACGGTGCATAAATTTATTTTCGCAGTGATTTTAAACAGTATTGCCATTAGCATGTCTGACAATAGATTCTTGTTGCCAATTTACATCAGCCTACACGGCTCTGACTGATAATCAACAGCAATTTCAAGGATTAATGACATACATCGGTCTAACTACCAATAACTTCTTTCCAACCTGATTATACTTTCACTATCAGAATACTTGGTGCAGCCATTTGATTAAAGCCAAGTCATTAGAAGACGGAGACTATCTGAAAAATGTGATGTATTAGCGCTATACATTTCGAACAATCTGATCACACATTTACTTGTCAAGTCAATTACCAAGGTAGGTTAAGAGTAATGACGAACTGTTTTTGAATACACAGGGGGGGCTTAAGTCTATGAATAGCTATAGCCTCAGCGTATTTCAGTAAACGCCCTTGACCGTTTTTATAGATGACCTTAAAGGCTGAGTTAACATCAATCTTATGGTTCATCTCGATTAGATGTTTAGCTATAGACGAATTTGGTAGTCTGCCACCTGCATCTATTAGCTTGTCACAATTCATCTGTTTTTCTAACCATTTTGGGATATGCTCTCCCACCCTCACGTGCAAAGCGCGATTACTCCTCCCTATGTATGTATGTCCACACACACACGAAAATTGGTAAATTGTATGGGATGTGATATAATCACTTGTGCACTTTTGGGGTTTACAGTGAAGCATATTTTTGGCTTTTTCCACAATTACAAGCTGGGCTGCATAGTAGGTTTTACGGATGATTGAATTCAACCTTTGTCTCACAATCCTACTGTTTATTTCCCCGTTATATGGTAATTTGATAAAAACCTTTTTCTTAGGGACGGTATGGATTGTAGGTTTAGAGGCTAGTTGACTTCTACACCTGTTTAAAAATTTCAAAGGATATCCGTTTTCAACAAGAGTATCCATTAATATTTCGTTTTCTCTGTCCATAACATCAGCCGTGCAAATACGCTGAATCCTCTTGAATAGACACTTCACCAAGCCCCTCTTATACTGTAATGGACAGAAGCTGTGAAAATTAAGGTATTGCCCTGTCCAAGTGGGCTTTCTGTAGATAGACCGTCTTATTGAGCCATCATCTCTTCGACTCAGAAGTATGTCTAAAAATGCTAGCTGGTTGCGACTTTCTTCCTCACATGTAAGACTAATATGATTTTGTACAGAGTTAAGTCTGTCTAATAGGCGACTCGCATCTTCATGATCGTCACATATCAAAATGATATCATCTACATATCTCCTATAAAAGGGCAATTTTGAAATTAAATCAAGGGATAAGTTTTCAACATAAGACATGTACACGTCCGCTAACAAAGGTCCTAATGGACTCCCCATAGCAACGCCATCCACTTGTCGAAAATGTTCGCCTTCAAACGTGAAATGGACGTTGTCAGTACATAATAATAATAAATCTTTCAAATAAGTTAAAGGGAAAGGGAATGAAAAACAACTAGAAGATATATAGTCACAAAGAATATCAACAGTCTTAATCAATGGTACATTAGTAAACAAAGAATTAACATCAAATGAATACATTTTCCTATCTTTTATGTTCATATCTACAAGACAGTCAACAAGTTCAAATGTATCTTTCAAAGTAAACTTACATAATTCATTGCGTACTGGACTTAAAATATCAGCTAACCATTTTGCTAGTTTATGTGTAGGAGAGTTACACATTGAAAGAATTGGACGTAATGGATTGTCAACCTTATGAATTTTAGGTAGTCCATAGAGGTTTGGAAAATCAGATCCCATGGGTTTCAAGGAGTTAAACTCCTGTTTATCGATAACGTTCATGCCACGAAGTTTTACTAAATGAGAATTTACTTTTCCTTCCAATTTTCTGATATCATCCGAAGGAACATCGGCTATAAATTTATTTTCGTCATTAATGATGGATAACATTTTTGTTTTATAATCATTTCTGTCCATTACAACTACACCAGATCCTTTGTCAGGTTTCAAAATAACTATATAAACTATATAACTATAAAAAAAATCTAATACGTAATTCCTTTAGGGCTTATAAATGACTTGGTGTTAAAATACTTCTTTGTTTCCGACTTGAATCACGGAATTGGTGTGGGCTACATCTACTATTTTATAGTTATATAGTTTATATAGTTATTTTGAAACCTGACAAAGGATCTGGTGTAGTTGTAATGGACAGAAATGATTATAAAACAAAAATGTTAGCCATCATTAGTGAAGAAAATAAATTTATAGCCGATGTTCCTTCGGATGATATCAGAAAATTGGAAGGAAAAGTAAATTCTCATTTAGTAAAACTTCGTGGCATGAACGTTATCGATAAACAGGAGTTTAACTCCTTGAAACCCATGGGATCTGATTTTTCAAACCTCCATGGACTACCTAAAATTCATAAGGTTGACAATCCATTACGTCCAATTCTTTCAATGTGTAACTCTCCTACACATAAACTAGCAAAATGGTTAGCTGATATTTTAAGTCCAGTACGCAATGAATTATGTAAGTTTACTTTGAAAGATACATTTGAACTTGTTGACTGTCTTGTAGATATGAACATAAAAGATAGGAAAATGTATTCATTTGATGTTAATTCTTTGTTTACTAATGTACCATTGATTAAGACTGTTGATATTCTTTGTGACTATATTTCTTCTAGTTGTTTTTCATTCCCTTTCCCTTTAACTTATTTGAAAGATTTATTATTATTATGTACTGACAACGTCCATTTCACGTTTGAAGGCGAACATTTTCGACAAGTAGATGGCGTTGCTATGGGGAGTCCATTAGGACCTTTGTTAGCGGACGTGTACATGTCTTATGTTGAAAACTTATCCCTTGATTTAATTTCAAAATTGCCCTTTTATAGGAGATATGTAGATGATATCATTTTGATATGTGACGATCATGAAGATGCGAGTCGCCTATTAGACAGACTTAACTCTGTACAAAATCATATTAGTCTTACATGTGAGGAAGAAAGTCGCAACCAGCTAGCATTTTTAGACATACTTCTGAGTCGAAGAGATGATGGCTCAATAAGACGGTCTATCTACAGAAAGCCCACTTGGACAGGGCAATACCTTAATTTTCACAGCTTCTGTCCATTACAGTATAAGAGGGGCTTGGTGAAGTGTCTATTCAAGAGGATTCAGCGTATTTGCACGGCTGATGTTATGGACAGAGAAAACGAAATATTAATGGATACTCTTGTTGAAAACGGATATCCTTTGAAATTTTTAAACAGGTGTAGAAGTCAACTAGCCTCTAAACCTACAATCCATACCGTCCCTAAGAAAAAGGTTTTTATCAAATTACCATATAACGGGGAAATAAACAGTAGGATTGTGAGACAAAGGTTGAATTCAATCATCCGTAGAACCTACTATGCAGCCCAGCTTGTAATTGTGGAAAAAGCCAAAAATATGCTTCACTGTAAACCCCAAAAGTGCACAAGTGATTATATCACATCCCATACAATTTACCAATTTTCGTGTGTGTGTGGACATACATACATAGGGAGGAGTAATCGCGCTTTGCACGTGAGGGTGGGAGAGCATATCCCAAAATGGTTAGAAAAACAGATGAATTGTGACAAGCTAATAGATGCAGGTGGTAGACTACCAAATTCGTCTATAGCTAAACATCTAATCGAGATGAACCATAAGATTGATGTTAACTCAGCCTTTAAGGTCATCTATAAAAACGGTCAAGGGCGTTTACTGAAATACGCTGAGGCTATAGCTATTCATAGACTTAAGCCCCCCCTGTGTATTCAAAAACAGTTTGTCATTACTCTTAACCTACCTTGGTAATTGACTTGACAAGTAAATGTGTGATCAGATTGTTCGAAATGTATAGCGCTAATACATCACATTTTTCAGATAGTCTCCGTCTTCTAATGACTTGGCTTTAATCAAATGGCTGCACCAAGTATTCTGATAGTGAAAGTATAATCAGGTTGGAAAGAAGTTATTGGTAGTTAGACCGATGTATGTCATTAATCCTTGAAATTGCTGTTGATTATCAGTCAGAGCCGTGTAGGCTGATGTAAATTGGCAACAAGAATCTATTGTCAGACATGCTAATGGCAATACTGTTTAAAATCACTGCGAAAATAAATTTATGCACCGTTTACATATTAAAATTGTAGCGTTTCCATCCTTTCTCTTGTTTATCTAACCTCATTAGTTTTATAACACTATCCGACTTATTGGTTTCATTATTTAAAGCAACTAGTTCTCTTTATGAATTTCGAAAACACAATAAGAAGATGCAGATAGCTTATCTGATACGTGTAATGCAGTGTGTGTTTGCGAAACACATTTCGGACATTCTGATTACACGCGTACTTGTCATACATAGTTTTTATAGAAGTCAAGAAGGCATGAATAATTACTATACAGGTCAGATTGTGTACAGGCCAAGGTCACAAATAATGGGTAGGGAGATGACACAAAGGTGTGAGTAAGAAAGAGAAAAAGAGAACAAAATACAGAGCAAAGAAGGGGTTGAAAATTCTATGAAGTAAATTGATCCTTGGTTTTAATTTGGATTACCAAGGCAGGTGTGAAGTAATAACAAATAACTTTTGGACGTATGAGACAGGTTTAAGTCGTTTTATGGCTAAGGCTTTGATGAATTTAAGTATGTGATCCAACCCTGTTTTATATATCGACTTAAAGGCATTGTTGAAATCAACCTTATGACCCGTCTCTATAATGTACTTCGCTATAGATGATGTTGGACATCTATTTCCGGAGTCAAATGTGTCTGGCGATTTTATTTGTTGTTGCAGCCACTTTGGAATGTGTTCTGTAGCAGTAATGTGCAGAGACCGATGGGTCCTCCCTATGTACATGTCATATCTTCCAGTTTGTGGGAATTCAGACACATATCATCATGGGTGAAGTCCAGATCGTTGAAGTTTTTTGTGTGGATTCAAGAGTAAATTGAAAACAACTGGTTATGTACACACATATAAACTAGATTATGAGATAAATCTATGATGTATGACGCTCTTCCAGGTCGTTCTACGACTCTGTGGGTTACGGGTGTTGACACCGCCCCACTAACTGATTCATAAACATCTAGGCGATATTGTGGATCGTTATATGTTAGATGTGCCACAATATATGTAGCCTGCATGCTTTGAAAGCCATTTGTAACTTAGGCCAAGTCAGAATTATCAAATAAAAATGAATGACTGATAAGTCAGCCTCGGATATTACATAGATGTGGGTCATTGTCGAGTTCATACACTTTGGAAAAAATTGAAATACAATTTAAATAAGTGGTACTAAACTGTCAAGACTGAGTGTATCATAGGAAATACTGAGTCAATCAAGAGATGTTTGTTTTTTAAATGGTTTCGGTTTTTGATAAAGATCAGGAGATCTCTGACTTCTCATACACGAGGTAGTGGGATCCTTGTCGTTATACTTCGGTGAAGATAAAGCTTATTGGCCTAAATAATCGAAATTCAACCCGTGATCCCGAGATTCAAGTTCCATCCCCATGTCTCTCTGTCTGTTTTCGACATAAAACTTTCCACCGATGTGCAGAAGTTCAAGTTGCCACACTCCCTCTTTACAGCACACAAAGCAAGAAAAGAGACAGTAAACAGAGGTGTGAGACAAAAGAATAGTAATAACGAAGAACAATGAAGTCTCATTTGGAATCATAAGTCACAAGGAGTGAATGCATCTGCGCCACCCATTGAGAACGATTTTCATCCATATCATCATTTGTTTCCAGCCATTGGTTTTTACCGTCCCGAGGACCCCAACCAGTCAGGAAGTCTACACCTTCCTACGTGGCTTAAACTAACTGTTGTGGATTTCGTGGACTGGTGAAACCATGTTTTGATTTAACCGCCTCTAGCTGTTTTCCAGCCTGACCCTATATCAGCTAACATTGCTCACTGTCGAGGAAGGCGATGACTAGGCATACGTAACACATGTCCTAACCACCTCAGTCGATGTAATTTCACAGCCTCGTCGATTGATTTCCCCTCCTTACCTAGTAGTCGATATGAGTGCGAGTACTAAACTGACTAATAATATTATTAAAACACAATAATAACAACTGTAATAATAATGGTATTATGCACTTCATTCATGTAGTACAAGCTATAAATAAGTACTCAGCTTCATTTACAACTAAACAATTTAAGCTACTGCACTGGCCAATAATATTTTACAATTAACCGCGAAGATAACCACCCAATTATAAGAATTACAAACAAACTGCAAGGCACGAGTAATAATCAGTAATAAGCACAAAACAAAACAAAAAACGAGCAACAAAAGTCATCAACTTACTTCAAAGGCATCAAATATCTCTCGATGATGGTAGTAAGCATGAGAAAATATTCTGTACACCCGACGACATACAGAATCCAGACGATTAACTGAAGTCACTTTAATGCTTATCCTGTATAAATAATAATAGAATGGAAATATTTACAATATCAAATAGGATTAATTACCGACTAGGGAAGTACTTACTGCTGTTCAATAGGCAAGCAGCACCGTCAAGTGTATGCCGAGTATAATCGACAGCTGGACACTGTACAAAGGGAAGAACAAATCAAAAAAAGACGTGAAAAAAAGATAACCTCAGAAGAATTCAAAATAAATTATTTAATTCAAGGTAAAAACCGAAGTTCCTCATTTTAAGATCTAACATTATTTTTTAAGTTATTTCTTCGCGTTCCAACTGTAAGAAACTTGAGTTCTGAAGTTTCGGTAGAAGTGATTTTTGATTGGACACTAGTAACTACTGTGATGTGTCTAGTCCTTTCTTTGGTGCAGACTGAATTCTATCTAATTAAAGGCCCAGACATCGTTGAAGCATCTGCTCAAGAAGCCGACATGTCAACCTGAGACCGAGCACTACAGTCCAATCAATCGACGGGAAAATTTAAAATTCAATTCAATCAATGTGACCCGTTGCACAAGAGGTGGCTAGCTGTCGTGGCCTAAGTGGTCTAGTGGATAACGCTTTGGCGTTTGAAACTATGGGCACTGGGTTCGAGCCTCGGTGGGAACATCATCACTCACTGAGAAGTGGAGGCATATCTAAATGACGAATCCCAAATAGGACGAAATGCGCACCCTGGATTCCACTGCTAGTCACCATCCACCAATTAAATTCTATGAGTCAGGTTTGCAATGTGGTCACCATGCCACTAGGTAGCTCGCCATCACGATGCACATTGATTCGATGATATTAGACGGTTGGAGGCAATTACAAGGAAGCCCTATTGGGGCCTAGGTTTCGTGCTAGTTGGCACTCACCAGTCAGTCAGCAAGGCGTATCTGCAACCAGCTTGAAGGAACTCAATCGCCTTCTGAGATTCAAACCCGCGTCACCCAGTGAATACTGCAGTCAGAGACGTTACCACTGAGCCAGCTATTCGGCCTGGCTCGCGATTGACCTCCTGTAGGACTGTAGTGGATATTTTGATTGAACACTGGTAACTAGTGTGATGCAGACTGAATTCTACCAGTCAGGTGTGTAATGTGGCCACCCTTACCATGATGTTGCTATCCTCATACACACAAATTTCCGATTTTAAGACCTATTGGGTGAGATTTAGGAGTGTGTCGTCAGGGAGTCGAACCCCACAGCACTTGCGTATTTGCCGAGTGTTCTAACACAGAACCACCGACGCTGTGATATGTGTACATTATTAGTTTTAAACATATGCGACTATGTAAACCAGTGCATATATAGTAGTTTTAAAAAGTATTTATAGATTCTAATGATTGCCAAATATAGGGCCTGATTCATATTAACATTAACAAGCTACTTGGTTCCAGTACCCAAAAATTAATTACCTCTTTAGGTGTTTTATGCGCAGCACAAAGAAATATCCATTGTTCTGTTGCAGTCATTTGAGGACAAGTTTTCGGTGTACACTGCTCTTGCAAACGCACAGCCAAACCATTTAGTTCCATACAAAACTGTCTTAAGTGTTCATACTTCCAAACAACCTCATCTTGACCCTCTGGAGCAGTTAAAATTTCATCGACATTATTAAAATCACGTCTTATTGTTTGTTGTATATACTAGAATGCAATATATCATTGAGGGAAAAAAATAATAATAATATACTTGTTGGACAGCAAGAGTACTTTCCATATCTTCAAATGATTCATCAGGCCAATTACACCACTCCTTCAAAAAGGTTCGATCCAATAAAAAACATTAAAACTAGTCTACCTCTGCTTTTGTACCAGGTCTGTTCCGTCGGACACAAACTTTTCCCGTTGCCATTGCCTACAGAGTAAATTGAAGAAATAACATGAGATTGGTTTTGAGAGTATACGCATTATTTTAAACATGTCAGAATGGAAAACATTCATCGACTTTTCTCAGTTTAAAATAAAAAATAGAGTAGTAGAGTAGTTTTAAAATTTTAAAACCAATTTCCAGCACAAAGACGGTATCCTACTCAGGTTGTTCAGAAGACTGAAGAATTGTGGAAACTAACACTACTACTGTCGTCTATGTAAAGATCAACAGCACTCAGGATGAAAATGAAAATAAGATCCGGATTTTCAACTCCAATGTGAAGTCAGTGCCACTTACTATACGGACCAGACACTTGGCCAGCGCGTCATGAAGGGCACTTCAGACAAACTACAGACTTTCATCAACAGTTGTCGTCCCCCAATACTACTTAAGATCAGATGACTGGCCAGGAAAGATCAGCAACAGGGATCTCTGGGAGCGAACCAACCAGGAACCGATTGTGCAACAAATAAGTCTCTGTCTGTTTTCGACATAGAACTTTGCACAAATGTGCGGAAGTTCAAGTCGCCACACTCCGTGTAGCACGCGAAGCAAGAGAAGAAAGTACAAGAAAAGCATAATAGAAACAGTGAGCAGAGGTGTGAGACAAAGGAGTAATAAAGAAATACAAAACAGTTTCATTGAAGAGCATAAGTCACAGGAGTGGATGCATCTGCGCCACTGTGAACGGTTTTGAGCCATGTCACCAATTGTTTCCAACCATAGATTTTTACCGTCCCGAGGACCCCAGCCTGGAAGTCTACACCTTTCTACGTGGCTAAGACCAACTGTTGTGGATTTCATTGACTGATGCCAAGTTTTTGTTTGACCGCCGCTAGCTTTTTTCCAGCCTGACCCTATATCCGCTAACATTGCTCGTCGAGGGAGGCGATGGCTTGGCATACGTAACACATGTCCTAACCATCTCAGTCTTTGTAGCTTCACGACTTCGTCGATTGATTTCCCCTGTTTACCTAGAACTCTACGCCTAACCTCCATGTTGCTCACCTTATTATGCCACTTTACACGGGAAATAGAACGCAGGCACCTATGATCGAAGACAGCTAATCTTTTCATGTCTTCCACTCTCAGTGGCCAGGTCTCACAACCATAAAGGAGGACGGAGCGGACTGATGAGCAGTACACCCGCCCAACAAATAAGTAGGAAAATATGAAGGTTGATTGGAGGCCATACTCTGAGGAAACCATCAAGTGACATCACACGCCACACCATTGCTCGAGTGGAAACCAAAAGGGAAGCGGTGAGTTAGTTGGTCGTCAGTGCGACGGTGGGGTGACATGGAGGAGGAGCAGGTCATGTATAGAGGAGATGAAAGTATGTGAGCAGACGTGGAGCCAAGTGAAAAGGTTGGCAGAGAGCCGAACACAATGGAGACGTACGACTGAAGCCCTGTGTTCCCCTATGAATTAAAGGAAACAATAATATAAAAATAACACTACTACTGTCTAGTGACTCAAACTGAAGTAGATAGAGCGAATTTCGATCTAGTACACGAATGTAAGGTCATTGCTTTAAAAATAGTCAAAATAAATCCGGAAATTCGTATAGAATACATCGCGTGAAAACATGGAAGAGTTTAAATAATCTGCTGAATGGTTCTACTATATTCTAGTTCAAATAACCAAATTGGATGTTTATCAGACGGGGTTTTTAAGCTTAAGTAGCAGTCGGTGAATTTTACACACCTGAAGTGCATAACCTAAAAATATGCTGCTCAGTGGTATAATCCTCTCCAACATTTATACTCAACTTTTTCTATCTGAATTAACAGAAATAATTTTAGGTAATGATAACAACACCTTGAACGAATATGATACCCATATTCTAAATAATAAAAGTCAGTGTGGCTCAATTAAGTAAAATGACACCGGTCTATACCAAACTCGGAGTGGAAAAAGGCGAAAATGGTTAGTACCGGAAACTAGTCATCTTCATTCAACTATGATTTAAAAGTGAACACTAACAAGCAAAATCAAACTACTACACTTAATGGAGTATTTCTGAAAAGGTCTATTAACTGAAAGAGTGAGAGACAGTTAGGATTACTTTATTATTATTTTCTTTAATTCCTAGAGGAACATAGGGCTTCAGCCGCGCGTCTTCACTGCGCTCGGTTCTCTGCTAGAGTTTTCACCTGGCTCCACGTCCGCCCACATGCTTTCATCTCCTCTTCACATGACCTCCTCCTCCATGTCACCCTCACACTGACGACCAACTCGTCATTTCCCTTTCGGGTTCCACTCGAGCTATGGTCTGGCGTGTGATGTCACTTGACGATTTGCTTTCTCAGATGATGGCCTCCTTCACCTCCATTTTTCCTGCTTATTTGCTGCATAATCGGTTCCTGGTTGGTTCGTCCCTACTGCTGATCTTTTCTGGCTGGCCATCTGATCTTGAGTATTATTAAGCGAAGACAGCTGTCTATGAAAGTCTGTAGTTTTTTTAAGTGGCCTTCGTGACGTGACGCCAAGTCTCTGATCCGTATAGTAAATAACACTGACTTCACATTGGAGTTGAAAATCCGGATGTTATATTTCATCCTGAGTGCTGTTGACCTCCACACAGACTTGAGTAATGAAAGCTTGTCTTGCTTTCCCGATCCTCGCTGCTTTGATATCCTCATCAGTTCCGCCAGCCCGTATTTGAAACGATGCTTCTCAGGTGGGTCGGTAGGTAAAGGAGGCTGCTTCTTTTAGATTTCTCCCATTTATACTGGCTGACTGTTGTCCGTTGTTGCTGTTGGTGTTGGCCAGGAATCTTCATCACCTACCTCTGTTTCCTCCATGTTCACCTGAAGGGAGTCCTATCTTTGATGCTTCTTCCATCAGCTTGTTGCTTTTCATCACTTGCATATCTTCCAGTTTGTGGGAGATCAGACTATCGTCGGCGAAGTCCAGATCCCCTAAGTTTTTTGTGTGAGGATCCACTTTATGTCTGTTTCCTTGCTGCTCGCTGTTTGTCACATTATCCAGTCTACTGCAATCAGGGAAATCACTGGCGATAGTAGGCAGCCTTGTCTTATTCCCGACTTCACTTCGAAGGATTACGTAAGTTTCCCGTTGTGGATTACTTGGCATGCAGCATTGTCGTACAACTGTCGGATGAGATGTATAATTGTTGATGTCACCCCGTAGTAGCGAAGTAGTTGCCAAATCACCTCTCGATCGACGCTGTCGAAGGCCAATTCAAAGTCAATGAAGTTGAGATAGAGATTACTTAATAACGACGTAAATTTCACACTGATATTGTTATTCTAGATTTGACTACGGTTAAAACTGCCTCCACATTCTTTAGATAAACGAAAACCCTGCCACCGTCAGACCCTCTCCAGTTATTTTTACATAATTCGATGGTTCAAATGATATGTCACTAAGGAGCATGTCAATTCAAAAACCACTATATATATTTCTCCAGTGCCAGCATGGATTACAAACAGGAAAAGGTTTACTCTATAACCTATGCGCTCCAATTTGCATTATGACGAACAACAGCAGGAGGTACGGCTTTCTACATGGATGAAATTCGAAAATCCCCATCGTTTTTTTAAAAGTGCTAATCTTACGACAAGTAGGACTAAAGGTATCTTTAACCAAAATCAGCTATTCGTGTGACAGGCGTGTTTTGTATCTAAGACACGCATGCAAAACGCAAGCGTGGTTATTCTCTTATTTCTATTTAGAAAACACAAAATTCTGAAAACTTAACCCTAGTGTCAAGCAATTCTACGATGAATTTGTGAACTTGACACTGTAGGGTTACCACTAATTTTCAAACAAATTAAATATCGAGCTGGTTTCCAAAATACAGAAGTTTATCAGGTGTCTGAGTATATGGCTCTTTAGAAGCAGGGGAAAATTATGGCACTCTTCGATATTACTTCATAGTCTCCACTTCCACATCCATATATTAAAATTCTTAAAAAATAAAAGCATATTTTATCAGTTGTATATTTTGCTTCATATTATAAAATGCTTAAACGCGGTCACATTAGTTGACTCAGTTAAACTGAATTAACTTAGTCGGAAAAGCATATCAGAAAATTATCACTATTGCTCGTTGCTACCGTTCCGGGAGGAACATAAAGCTCCAATAACACTTATGTGAAGAATATTTATGACTGCACATTTATCTGAACACAACAGAGGTATTTATCCTGAAATACAACGCTGTAGTGACACATTTGAAGATAGCTGATCAACTACAGTTAGTGATCAGTAAAAGCTATTGAATTTATGTAGTCTCATCCAAACTGAACAGTACAAGAAGACTGATTCCACAAGGTTCCAAACCCGACAAGGATAGAAAACTCCTTAAACCCTAACTCAATAAGAGATCTCGTGACAGTAATGAATGAGGAAAATATAACAGACGTTTGCAATACATAGTGCCCGTCAACAATTTAGACATACAAAGAAATAAATCAACCACAGCCTGTGGATTTCAGTGGTAGTAACTTCTTTCTTCTTGACTAGAAAAGTTAGATGAGATACACCACAGGAAGTTGTTGTTACTCAGAAGAAAGCATAACACAAAACCCTAACGTCAATAACCGTTGATTTGCACCACTTAAGTTAGATTGTGTGACCTGTGTCCTTAAGATTTACAGGACCAATACCTGGAGACTTCTAGCAATAACCTAAAATCACTTACAATGGTACTGTTTTACTCGCTTATTTTATCTTCAGCCATTAGTAATCATCAGATTATTTCCGTTGTCAAATTTCTGAAACTTTTTCATGTATGCCTTTCTTCACACTTACTTCCTTGAACCCATGCATGTCTGCGCAGCTTCGTGTTGATTCACCAGGTAGATAATCACAAAAGGTGTTCATCTGATTTCGGAAAAAACACCTATCATTTGACTGTAGTTCATAAGAAACCTACTACCAAATAAGTCCCATACTTCATTTGTCTTGAATCAAACAGTAATGCTCTCGTTTCATTAATTTCTAATATTCATGCCTTACATTCAAGGTACGTACGTCGAGGCCATGCGTTAAGATTGGGCACACAAAAACAAACAAATCAGGTTGATTAGCCAATTCTTGCGTTCCAAGTGGAAATGAACCATTCTATTCTTCATTAAACAATTATACTTAAAACAAAGGGCTTCTGAGTAAGACAGAACTGGAATCAAGAGGTAAGCCGCTGAAGTGAGACACATATCAAAATTTCAGGACTATTGGTAATAACCTGCATTTTTGTGGGCTGCAGCCTGTCACTACTTTGTCCCATTCTATGTACAGTCACAATACTTGTCAACAAAATAGTGGTTGTGATACTTAGACACAAGTTTTCGGGCGCTTTAAATGAAATAAATTGCTCTTAAACTGTGCAAATAATAAGACGCTGCTCTTATGACTGTGTGATAACTTTACTCTAGGTCAGCATCTCCCATATTTCGTAAATTCCAGTATTCAGAGATTGTCCTGGAGTCACTGAGAGAAAATATGGCGTCGCATTGAGCTACTTACCACTTAGAAATGTCACAAGAAGAGTTATAGAAGTTTACCTTTATGAAAAATTAGAGGTTCATATCCAGCCTGAGTTTATAGTGAAAACTGGAGTAAACCAAACAGCGGTACAAAATACACCACTGACCTTGAAACTGAAATCACCTCCACAAATCAAATATTCAATATGGTCTTCCAGGATAGCTTATACATAGTCGACTTATTTTGGCTAAAATTATCCGTAACTTATCAAGGTCATTGGTGGAGTGAGACGCTCGAAGGTCATTCTCGTCCATGTTAGTCGGCCATGTTGGATTGCAGTTCCGTAGCAGTTCGTGTAAGCGTTTGTTGTTCCGTTTATCCTGCCGTTATACACGGCTTATCTTGTTGCGTATTGTTCACAAATGTTGCGTTTCACCTCATTTTTTGTTTCCGTTGCTGTTAAAATGAATTATTTTTTGGTTTCGAAAGTTTTCACTACCAGGTCAGTGCATTCATTTCGGTGTAATTGTTTCATACCTTGTATTTATGCGACTTTCTCTTATTACTCTAAAATTTTATGCAAAGTGTTTGCGGAAATTATCACAATTATTAACCTTTCGAACACTGAATCCAAAAAATACAATCTTATTGACAGATAATACACATAACTCACTGTTTGGATTTGTGGAATTTTTAAACATAAACACATCTATAATTGTATATATTGTTGGATTTATATGTTCAAGTTGCTCCAAGTCAGTGAGTTTATGGTTAAGATATCATTTTAGTTAACTGTACTGAACTATATTGCATGTTGTCTTATTGTATAGTTGTCGTCGCTTTTTGCCCTTTTTTCTGTGAACTGTTTCCTTTGTTGATGTTGTTCTCATTGTTTGTCCGTTATTTTCTGATTTTGAGGGGAGCAACCCAAAAAGTTGCTTCTCTCTAAACTTTTACTTAATGTAATCATTCTTTTCTCAGGCGTGAGGCTAGCAACCCCACCCTGTAAACAAAAATTGCTACAGAAACTTCAGTATGATGAACCTCCTTGCACCAAAAGAAAAAGTCTGTGTAGGAACATGGAACGTCCGAACTATGTACGAGACTGGGAAAGCTGCCCAGATCGCCAACGAGATGAAAAGATACGGAATACAAGTGCTGGGAATATGTGAGAGCAGATGGAATGGGAGTGGACTCACCAAATTGTCAACAGGTGAGTCAGTGATCTACTCCGGTCACCCAGAAGATAACCACACGCACACCGAGGGCGTGGCTATCATGATGTCACCAACGGCAACGAAAGCCCTGATACAATGGGAGGCGATTTCGTCCAGGATAATGACCGCCAGGTTCAACTCCAAAGGAAGGAAAGTGTCAATCATACAATGTTATGCACCCACAAACAACGCAGACCTCGAGAAGAAAGAAGAATTCTACAGGCAACTACAGGCAACAATGGACAATACTCCAGCTGGCGACATGAAAATACTAATGGGAGACATGAACGCCAAACTGGGACCAGACAATACGGGAAGGGAACTCATCATGGGTAGAGAAGCTCTAGGAGAAATGAATGAAAACGGAGAACTCTTCGCCGACTTCTGCGCCTTCAACGAACTGGTGATTGGTGGCAGTGTATACAAGCACAAAGATATCCACAAGGCTACATGGGTGTCACCAGACGGGCAAACCAAAAACCAAATCGACTTCATCTCAATCTCAAGGAAGTGGAGGCGCAGCCTACTGGACACAAAAGCAAGAAGAGGAGCAGACGTTGGCTCAGACCACTATCTCGTACAAGGGACAATCCAAATCAAATTAAAAGCTTTCAGGGAATCAGGAGCTGCAGATAGACCACAAGCCAAGTTCAACACTCAAAAGCTGAAGGACCAGGCTACAAAGGACATCTTCATTGCAAGCATAAAGGACAAAGCCGAGACACAAATCAACACCAGCGAAAAGGTCGGCGTCGAAAAGCACTGGAACAACTTGAAAACGGTGTGGAGCCAAACCTGCATAGAAATTCTAGGCAGAAAAAAGAGACAGGACAAACAGTGGCTCACTACGGACACTTGGAAACTAATAGAAGAGAGAAGGACAGTGAAGCAAAAGATTATCCAGTGCACTGACGAGCAACAAAAACAGGAGCTGAATGCAAGCTACAATACACTGAACAAAAGAGTGAAGAAAAGTGCCAGGGAAGACAAAAGAAAATATTATGAAACCATGGCAAACGAAGCAGAACAAGCTGCAGGCAAAGGAGACCTCGCCACACTCTACCAAACAACTAGGAACCTTTCGGGCAAACGTTCGACACAGATTAAGCCAATAAAGGACGACAATGGAAAGTCAATCACCAAAGAGGTGGAACAGAGAAAGCACTGGGTTGAACACTTCAAAAGACTTCTAAATCGTCCGCCACCTACAACACGTCCAGCAATACCAACAACGGAAGCAGAACTACCAGTGAACACTGACCCCCCGACGAAATCAGAAGTCCTGAATGCAATCAAGATGCTTAAAACTGGGAAAACACCGGGACCAGATGGAATCCCAGCAGAGGCTTTGAAAATAGACCCAGAGACAACAGCGGACTTGATGACACCACTGCTGGAGAAGGTGTGGAAAGAGGGCAAAGTACCCGAGGATTGGAAGAACAGTTACTTATTCAAACTTCCAAAGAAAGGAGACTTAAGTCAATGTAAAAACTGGCGTGGAATTATGCTTCTGTCCATTCCAAGCAAGATACTAAGTCGCATCATCCTGGAGAGAATCAAACAAGCCCTAGATGAAAAACTTCGTCCGGAACAGGCTGGATTCAGGAGAAACAAATCATGTATTGATCAAATCGCCACTCTACGGATCATCATTGAACAAAGCTTGGAATGGCAGTCACCTCTCTATCTCAACTTCATCGACTTTGAAAAGGCCTTCGACAGCGTCGATCGAGAGGTCATTTGGAAACTACTTCGCTACTACGGGGTCCCATCGACAATTATACACCTCATCCAACAGTTATACGACAATGCTGCATGCCAAGTAATCCACAACGGGAAACTTACGGAAGCCTTCGAAGTGAGGACGGGAGTGAGGCAAGGCTGTCTACTATCACCAATGATCTTCCTGATTGCAATTGATTGGATAATGCGACAGACAACGGCAACCAACGAGGGAACAGGCATAAAATGGACTGACACAAAAGACTTGGAGGATCTGGATTTCGCCGATGATATATGTCTGATTTCCCATAAACTGGAAGATATGCAAGTGAAAAGTAACAAGTTGGCAGAAGAAGCATCAAAGATAGGACTTCACGTGAACATAGATAAAACAGAGATGATGAAGATTCCTAGCCAACATCAACAACACCAACAGACCACAATAAGCATAAATGGGAAGAACCTGAAAGAAACAACCTCCTTCACCTACCTGGGAAGCATCGTCTCAACTACAGGCGGAACTGACGAGGACATCAAAGCCAGAATCGGAAAAGCAAGACAAGCTTTCATTACTCTCAAATCTGTGTGGAGGTCAACAGCACTCAGCATCAAAAATAAGATCCGGATTTTCAACTCCAATGTGAAGTCAGTGCTACTATACGGATCAGAGACTTGGCGAGTCATAAAGAGCATCTCAAACAAACTTCAAACCTTCATTAACAACTGTCTCCGCTCAATACTCAAGATCAGATGGCCAGAAAAGATCAGCAACAGGGATCTCTGGGAGCGAACCAATCAGGAACCGATTGTGAAACAAATAGGCAGAAAGAAATGGAGATGGATTGGCCATACGCTGAGGAAACCATCAAGTGACATCACTAGACAAGCCCTCGAGTGGAACCCGAAAGGGAGGCGGCGAGTTGGTCGTCCAAGGGTGACTTGGAGGAGGTCATGCGAGGAGGAGATGAAAGCATGTGGACAGACCTGGAGCAGGGTGAAAAAGTTGTCAGAAAACCGAAGTCAATGGAGGTGCGCAGCTGAAGCCCTATGTTCCTCTAGGAACTAAAGGATACAATAATAATAAACACTGCTTGGGTATTGGACTACCGAAAAGTCTAGGAAGCACACCAAAATAAGCTGCATCGTTTTAGATGACAAATGAAAAATTTAACAGAAACAATGGTACTACAATAGAAAATATTAAGCATGAGAAGGAGAATGCCTTGATGAGGATTAATGAACACAACAGAAACTTCAAAGGTGGTAGTAAGTTAAAACAATTTTATGAACATGGAAGATTTTGAAGTCACGTAGGGAAGAATCTTCAAAGACTAACGCTTTGTATCTCAGAAATTCGCCTAATAACAATCATTCAAAATGAGAGCATACAGTCTCTAATGTTAGGCTGCTATGTTAGGTCAAAAAATCAAACATTGAATTTAACACTTTAAAAACATCATTTAGGATGTTGATGTCGTGTCTTGGCGTTAACGCAGCTAAATCGGAAGGCAAGGAAGGGTTATTGAGTGATAATTTGATCCGTCTTCACTGAGAGGTGACCACTGAAAATATTGTGGTGACAGCTGTCTACTAGTCGAAATTGTAGACACCAATTTACGTCAGTGTCTACGTCCTAAATCTTGGTCATGAGAAAAAACAAGAACAAAGCCTAACCTTGAGGAACTCAACAACCAAACACAGCAGACTTTGCGTGGGCGGATACGATTAGCAGATATATGGTCTGACCTTCGAAGAAACTACCACGAAGAGATGACAGAATAACTTCCAGTGAGAAAACGACCAATCAGAAGACTCTGTTTCTCTGCTAATAATAACGAATAATAATGTACATAAAAATCTCTAAATATCTCTTCACTTTCTCAATAAACGATCTGTCGCCTGATCCTTGTTTTCTGTCGTTACTATACTACATGTGTTCATCTACCTATACTTATTTCAACTAAACGAAGGGCTGGACACCGCATGACAAAAATAGTATCGTCAGCCAAGGACAACATGTTAACAGATTGAATTCTAAGTGATTGGACTAAATCAAGGCTAACTTATAAAATTGACATCAAAAATTGCATCGATCCATGAAGTCTTCAACAAGTCGCCCGGGTAGCATAAGGAGATGTTCTTGGGATTTTTGTAATGTCGGCGAATTTTCGTGAAATGCTTCAAAATCGTTCATGTTGACACCATATTGTTTTCACTGTCCAACATCTTCGAAGTTTTGAATATCCTAGACTAATTCTCATCCAGTTACTGTCTGTCTCTGTCACACACACACTCACTACTGGCATTATAGTATCAGTACATCTCTAGAGTATTGTTTCTGTCGTGCTATTATGAAGTCTAGTAAGAAGAATTATTCAGTGGAGATTTCTCTTCAAAGAACAATTTCCATCCTAAAATTAAATATCTTAACACTAAGAAAACATTAGTTCATTGACTGTATGCTGTCTCGAAGCTCTAATGTGAGTTTAACAAAAACGACTAGTTGTTGAAGCCAATCAAATGTGGACAAACTCCAACCGAAATGTTTCTCTCAACTGTGTCTACAAATTTACATGTACGTTTCAAAGCACATACAATGGAAGAATAGAGACAAGGCTTATTGTCTGCATTTCTGAACATATGCCAAAGAACCCGAGAGTAATTGACTGACTGATTTCAACATAGAACTTTGCACCGATGTGCAGCAGTCCAAGTCACCACACTCCATCCATGTAGCACACAAAGCAAAAGACGAAAGTAAAAAGGAATGCAAAATAGAGACAGTAGACAGGGATATGAGACAAGAACAGTAGTAATAACGAAGAACAATATAGTTTCATTGGGTATTATAAGTCATCTGATTCATCTGAGCCAGCCACTGAAAACGATTTTGAGCCATATCACCGATTGTCTACAGCCTTCAGTGGTGTTTACCGTCCCGAAGACCCCAACAAGACAGGAAGTCTACAGGTTTCTACGTGGCTGACTGGTTAAAACTTAATTGTGGATTTCAGTGACTGATGAAGGCGTGTTTTGGTTTGACAACCGCTGGCTCTTTTCCAACCTGTCCCTATGTTAGCGAGCATTGCCCGTCCAGGAAGGCGATAGCTAGGCATACGTAACACATATCCTAGCCATCTCAGTCGATGTAACCTGAGAGCAAAAGGTTTACAGACACTAAACAGTGCGATTCTACACCACCTATTGGACACTATTCATATTATGGACAATCTGAAGGCGTTCAAAATAATCAACAGGTAAAAGAAACACAGCCTGCTTCGCTTTGGTGAAGAAATCCCCATCAAATGATTAAAACTAATGCAATATACGCAGAGAGGGAGACAGTGATAAATCTCTTGTACTAACAAAGTATACAAGTTTTATTAAGTCCTCTTCATCTGAACACTACTCACCCTTCAGCTTATTGCTATTTTTATAAAAAAAAACCATTTTCTGTAATTACATAGCCTACTATACCATTCATTGTTGTACTCTTTCTAGTTAAACTTTGTTTCTAACCAAAAATGTTGAACTCTCTCCTCAAGAGTATTAGTTCAATTATCCTATACAAAGTGAATCATTTTAATGCTTAACAACTTGCATCATTCCCGAAATTAATGTTACTTTTAGTTCCTCGTCATCGCGAAAAAAAAAGTGTGTTCAGATCCTTAACGAAGTTTATGCTTTTTTGATTGTTCAGGTTATAGTCAGCTAGCTTGAGGCTAGCAACCCCATGCCGTAAAAATAAACACCATTGCTAGCGAAACCTCAAAACTGTAGCTTGGAGCCCTATATTCCACTGGGAATAAAGAAAATTTCAAAAAAAATATTTTCAAGTGTTGGTTTTCAGGGATTTGATCGATTTCAAGTTTGACCGTTACCTGACTTTAAGTAGAGAACCAGTGGAAACTAGAGAGTACTGGGCAGTCGTTTCTTCCTTGTTTAGGAGTCTTCGGCAGTACGCACCCATAGCCTCACTGCCAGGGATAGAACCTAGGACCTTGTAGTTACAAGGCGAGTTCCTCAATGGTTCACCTAATCGGACAAAGTTCAATGGCCCATGAATTCTAACTTCTGCTAACGTCATCAGAGAACATCTTTCCTCATATCCAACTTGTTGGACTCCACTGGTCACAATTTTCCCCTGGAACTTCAGGCAATTTCATCGTGTATTCAGTCACCGGATCAATGTCCAAGTGTTGGTTCTCAGGGATTTGATTTAAACAGTTGTTCGTTCAGAAGTCCCTGGTTCTCAATGGTTATCTAACTAAGGTCAGCTAGTGATCCAAAAGTCATTAGCGTATTAAACAAGTGATCGGTGAAAAAATTATGACGGTCATGGATGCTTCAGTTTTAAACTTCATGTTTGGTGAAGTCCGTATTACAGCATTTTAGTCTCCTGAAAATTCTTCTCTATCATGAAAATTTCCCTCAGGTTACCACACACACACACCCGACTCCTGAATGTACTACTGAAAGCATTTAAGGTAAATTTTAGCAACTCACTTTTATGTGACTAAGAGATATCCGTTTCGATTTTCTACATATTGGTGTGGTCACCTGGTCAGCTCGTATTCTCTGTTTCCAATCAGAAGACGATGGTTGTTTTGTAGGACTGAGTGCTGCCACTGAACTACGCAACCTTTTCCGAATAGGATTGGATGCTAGCGATGATGTCTGAACAGATTTCATGTTTTGATTATCGTCTGATTTTATTAGCAGGACAACAGGAGACATTGTTTCATCTAAATCCACTGGTAAACGTGGACAAACAGGTCGCGGGTTTGATGGTGTATACAATTTTCTATTTGACTTTATTTCGCCACAAGGGCGTTTATTCAAATCATGCGTGTCTTTATGATCACCAGAAGATGACAGTAAAGGTGGGTTCTTTTCCTTTGCTGGCGTTTTTTTCACTTTTACCTTGCCAACACTTTTACTGTTACATGGAGTTCTATTTGTCAATCGTTTTGTAGGTAACTGTTTAGGCGTTTTATTCCTTTTATCTGGAGTAGACTTTAATCTTGGTTCACTAAGGGATTTATTATCTATTGCAAAGGCTTTTCTGGGTGTTTTCGGTGTACCTGTAGTGTGTAAATTCGAGGATTTCTTATTGGGGGTGATGAATAAGTTAGGTGATTTTCCAATCTCATCTTTACGATGAGTAACATTGGTATTATTAGTGTTATTACCATTATTATTATTATTGTTATCATTACGTTTCATAGTCTCCTCTTTCTGTTTCTTTTTAGCACTGAAAGACTTTGGTTTACGCATTCTACTCACAAAATTCACCAGCAAATCTGGAGTAAGAGGTGCACTAATTGAAAGCTTTTGGGTTAATTCAATGGATTGTCTTTTCAACTTTTGTCCTTTACTATTATTATTATTATTACTTTCACAGTTACCAGTGAGTGTAGATGATTGTTGAACTCTTGGAATAATTAATACATCATTTTGTGAATACGTTTCAGGATTAATTAAACGAAATCTGTGAGAGTTGGTTTGTTCTACATTAGTTGAAGGAATAATAATCTCTGCCATCGAATCATCTAAAATACTGCTGGTGTCTAAAGTATCTAGTTTTTGAGATTTACGGGGAATAGGTGATAAAGAACGATGGAATTCTACAGCCGTTGTTGGTTGATTTACTGCATTCTGTGTAGATGTGATCATTGAGTCAACTAAAGCTAAACAAAACAAAAAGAAAACAAAGAGAAGTGGAGGCATGAAACAAATGAGATATGATAATCAAACGCTAATACCAAGTTTGTCGAAGGCTAATCGATCTGTAGAGTTTGATCACAAATCAAGGAGAGAGAAAGAGAGAGAGCCAGTGGACCTATCTTTCATAAATTAGAGGCTCCACATCCCTCCTCTTTTTTTCATGCGCTATAGGGAATACAAGTGGAATGAAACCAGCAAAGCAGCATCTATATTTCAAAGAAATGAAAATAAATCCTACTAGTTTTGAAATTGCCACTATTTTGATGGTGTCATTCCAAATACCCCACCCCCCACCGCTCCGTATGTTTTTATATGAGCAGTAGGATGACTCAAAAATATGTATAACTTTTCTCACACCTTACTACTTACTAGTGTATATAAGTACACATAGTGTTTATGATGAATAAAGCAAGCCATTTTCGTAACTTTCATGTCCACTTGTAAGGTTAGTCAATTATCACGTTGTTTTTTATGAACATCAAGCCAACCGGACGTGGCTTTAATGTAAGAGTAGAATTTAGACACTTTGGTAGAATATGAATTCAGAAACAGATAAGCTTAACTGATATAACACAGTGAAAGAATATCAGTGACTGGATTGTTCTTGACACATCATTCAGTAATCAATATTGTTTTTACGAGTTGATCACGGATCACTTAGAGAACTATTGAAAACCAGGGGTACTGGACAGTGGCTGATTGGTATACGAGCTTGCCTTGTAACCGGAGGGTCCTGGGTTCGAATCCCAGTGGGTGCGTATTGCCGATGATTCCCAAATTAGGATGAAACGGCAGCTGTCCAGTACTCACTGGTTTTCAATGGTTCTCTAACTGATATCAATCCGTGGTCAACTCGTAAAAACATAACTAACCCTTACAAACCAAACTATAGAAAATCAATATTGTATTACTGTGCGTTATATTAGATAAGCTTATCTAGTATGGATGTGATCTTAACAATTAACTTTTCGAATGACTGACCTTTGCTGGAGCCGACTGATAGCTGCTAACTTGACGTGGTGGTCGGGCTTGCATGCTGCAATGACTCAATGAACGGCATTGGCTGGAACGAATGTCCCTACAGGCCTCCTACCGTATCAGAATAGTCATTTAGGTAGCGCTTGAACTAAAAGTAGTTACCATCACATCATTCACACTATGTTGAAATTCTGTGGGGAAAATCGCACTGCTGAAGAATAGGGAAGTAACAGTAGTAATTTGCCTCCCTCAGATGACCAGCAATCCAGTAATGCTGTCTCTCCGCTGTGGAGAGGGGGGAGGTTAGAAAAGATCGACACCAAAAATTGTATATTCCAGCTTACAATGGGGCGATAAGATTTTAATGCGGGCAGAACCCCAAAAACCACTTCAAACAGGCCATACGTGACCACCAGCCTCAAGCAGTTGTCCCTCAGGCTCTGCGCAGTCACACAAAACTAGTGTTCCTTCTGCTTCATGTATGCGCCGAAGAAATCAACTTATACAGTGTGAGCAGCCGGAAATTAAAAACCACCTACACACTTTCTGTGATGGATGTTAGCACTATATTTTTTCCTTATTGGCGCCTGTCAAAAAGGCATATTCAACAAAATCTTCAGGAATCTTATTTCTCACCAAGAATTCAAAAATGCATCACCTGGAGCTACTTTTACCACAAAGCTATATTTAGGACACAACTGAAAGTCTGCAAAAAGACTTTGTGAATCATGATATGAGGAAATAATGACACTATTCAGCTTGATATAATATTAATAAGACATGGGATTAGTGGTAGAGTGTAATTCCACAATAGAATAATAATTTTGGGTGATATAGTACACAATGATGTGCTTTTTGAAGCCACTTTATAGCCCACATTCATATCAAGGTGGCATTAAAATAAACTGACAGAATTTGGTCAAGGCAATCGGCTACGGAAATCCTTGACCTAGGTTTCGTGCTTGTTGGCACTCACCAGTCGGTCAGCAAGGCGTATCTGCAACCAGCTTGAAGGAACTCATTCGCCTTCTGAGATTCGAACCCGCCTCACCCAGTGAGTCCTGCAGTCAGAGACGTTACCAAGGAGCCAGCTATTCGGGCTCGCGATTGACCTCATGCCATCTAATATCATCAAATCAATGTGCACCGTGATGGCGAGCTACTTAGTGGCATGGTGGCCACATTGCAAATCTGACTGATAGAATTCAGTCTGCACCAAAGAAAGGACTAGACACATGACACTAGTTACTAGTGTCTAATCAAAGGTTTGATAATTTCTATACTGCTTGGGTGGACAACGCGCGCGCTTTTCGACTATTACGCTACATTTTGCTCATTAATAAAAACTCTTATTACTGTAAAATTTTATGCAAAGAGTTTGCGGAAATTATCACAATTATTAACCTTTCGAACACTGAATCCAAAAAATACAATCTTATTGACAGATAATACACATAACTCACTGTTTGGATTTGTGGAATTTTTAAACATAAACACATCTATAATTGTATATATTGTTGGATTTATATGTTCAAGTTGCTCCAAGTCAGTGAGTTTATGGTTAAGATATCATTTTAGTTAACTGTACTGAACTATATTGCATGTTGTCTTATTGTATAGTTGTCGTCGCTTTTTGCCCTTTTTTCTGTGAACTGTTTCCTTTGTTGATGTTGTTCTCATTGTTTGTCCGTTATTTTCTGATTTTGAGGGGAGCAACCCAAAAAGTTGCTTCTCTCTAAACTTTTACTTAATGTAATCATTCTTTTCTCAGGCGTGAGGCTAGCAACCCCACCCTGTAAACAAAAATTGCTACAGAAACTTCAGTATGATGAACCTCCTTGCACCAAAAGAAAAAGTCTGTGTAGGAACATGGAACGTCCGAACTATGTACGAGACTGGAAAGCTGCCCAGATCGCCAACGAGATGAAAAGATACGGAATACAAGTGCTGGGAATATGTGAGAGCAGATGGAATGGGAGTGGACTCACCAAATTGTCAACAGGTGAGTCAGTGATCTACTCCGGTCACCCAGAAGATAACCACACGCACACCGAGGGCGTGGCTATCATGATGTCACCAACGGCAACGAAAGCCCTGATACAATGGGAGGCGATTTCGTCCAGGATAATGACCGCCAGGTTCAACTCCAAAGGAAGGAAAGTGTCAATCATACAATGTTATGCACCCACAAACAACGCAGACCTCGAGAAGAAAGAAGAATTCTACAGGCAACTACAGGCAACAATGGACAATACTCCAGCTGGCGACATGAAAATACTAATGGGAGACATGAACGCCAAACTGGGACCAGACAATACGGGAAGGGAACTCATCATGGGTAGAGAAGCTCTAGGAGAAATGAATGAAAACGGAGAACTCTTCGCCGACTTCTGCGCCTTCAACGAACTGGTGATTGGTGGCAGTGTATACAAGCACAAAGATATCCACAAGGCTACATGGGTGTCACCAGACGGGCAAACCAAAAACCAAATCGACTTCATCTCAATCTCAAGGAAGTGGAGGCGCAGCCTACTGGACACAAAAGCAAGAAGAGGAGCAGACGTTGGCTCAGACCACTATCTCGTACAAGGGACAATCCAAATCAAATTAAAAGCTTTCAGGGAATCAGGAGCTGCAGATAGACCACAAGCCAAGTTCAACACTCAAAAGCTGAAGGACCAGGCTACAAAGGACATCTTCATTGCAAGCATAAAGGACAAAGCCGAGACACAAATCAACACTAGCGAAAAGGTCGGCGTTGAAAAGCACTGGAACAACTTGAAAACGGTGTGGAGCCAAACCTGCATAGAAATTCTAGGCAGAAAAAAGAGACAGGACAAACAGTGGCTCACTACGGACACTTGGAAACTAATAGAAGAGAGAAGGACAGTGAAGCAAAAGATTATCCAGTGCACTGACGAGCAACAAAAACAGGAGCTGAATGCAAGCTACAATACACTGAACAAAAGAGTGAAGAAAAGTGCCAGGGAAGACAAAAGAAAATATTATGAAACCATGGCAAACGAAGCAGAACAAGCTGCAGGCAAAGGAGACCTCGCCACACTCTACCAAACAACTAGGAACCTTTCGGGCAAACGTTCGACACAGATTAAGCCAATAAAGGACGACAATGGAAAGTCAATCACCAAAGAGGTGGAACAGAGAAAGCACTGGGTTGAACACTTCAAAAGACTTCTAAATCGTCCGCCACCTACAACACGTCCAGCAATACCAACAACGGAAGCAGAACTACCAGTGAACACTGACCCCCCGACGAAATCAGAAGTCCTGAATGCAATCAAGATGCTTAAAACTGGGAAAACACCGGGACCAGATGGAATCCCAGCAGAGGCTTTGAAAATAGACCCAGAGACAACAGCGGACTTGATGACACCACTACTGGAGAAGGTGTGGAAAGAGGGCAAAGTACCCGAGGATTGGAAGAACAGTTACTTATTCAAACTTCCAAAGAAAGGAGACTTAAGTCAATGTAAAAACTGGCGTGGAATTATGCTTCTGTCCATTCCAAGCAAGATACTAAGTCGCATCATCCTGGAGAGAATCAAACAAGCCCTAGATGAAAAACTTCGTCCGGAACAGGCTGGATTCAGGAGAAACAAATCATGTATTGATCAAATCGCCACTCTACGGATCATCATTGAACAAAGCTTGGAATGGCAGTCACCTCTCTATCTCAACTTCATCGACTTTGAAAAGGCCTTCGACAGCGTCGATCGAGAGGTCATTTGGAAACTACTTCGCTACTACGGGGTCCCATCGACAATTATACACCTCATCCAACAGTTATACGACAATGCTGCATGCCAAGTAATCCACAACGGGAAACTTACGGAAGCCTTCGAAGTGAGGACGGGAGTGAGGCAAGGCTGTCTACTATCACCAATGATCTTCCTGATTGCAATTGATTGGATAATGCGACAGACAACGGCAACCAACGAGGGAACAGGCAT